GGTGGGTATGGCGATCGACATTTCGCTTTCTCAACAGGAATTGTGTGGGGTGGGGGAGATTGAGAGTGTGGATTAGGTGAGCAGGGCGGTGTGTGGGGGAGAGCATTGGGGATAAATTGGGGAATGGGTAAATGTGTGCAGATGTGTACGTATGTGAGTATGTGTTAAGCATGTGTATGGAGGTCGATCGGGGACGGATACATAGATGGATGCATCGGGTATTGACAGGGTCCACTAGTCATGACCAAGATGTGATGGCAGCCCTACAAATATGTAAGCAGGCCGAGTAAGACAAATGTGCAGGGACAAAAAAGCGCCGATGCTTTTTGCCGCGAACCGCCAAACGGCTTTTTGCGCGGCTAGTCAGCAGGTCAGGAACGAAAGTCAGGAACAGGAAGGCGAGTGCAGCCAAGTACTAGAAGTGTGTCGGTGGTGAGAAGCCAAGGGAGAAGAAGAAGAGAACATGTGGCGGGTAGCTGAAACATTGACACAGCATCCTGTGACGCCTTACGCGGACAAGAAGATGCGATGACGCGGACGGAGAGCGAGATGACCGGGGCATGGGAGGCATGGGAAGCATGGGGAACGTGGCGTTGGGCGGGGAATGAATCGGAATTTCATGTAGACGGAACATGCGGTAGCGATTGAAGAGAAGCGCGGGGATGTGCACGATGTAGAGTGAGTAGAGGAGCGGCATGAAAGTGTGTTTGGTGGAATGGGCATTGGCATGTGCATGGAACAAAGACGGAAGGAAGGGCATCGGGGGGCTGTGGTTGGTGCAATGGTGCGAGGGGGGGTGAGGACAGAGTGCCGCGTTGCACATGGTTGCCAAGGCCGGGGTTTGTTTCGACAAAATGGCGTTGCATATTGCCGTGTTGCACGGCTGGCAGCCTGAAGGCCATGGTGCGAGTGGTATGGCGTCAGGATGGATGGATGGAGGGGAATGATGAGGCGGTGGGTGATTGGCGTGCTGACAGACACGACCTGCCCGTTTGCGATAGCCGAGATAACGGAAGCTGACCATTCAGCTCATCGAGAAGACGGGCGTGGTGATGACAGCAGGGACATGTGTAGATAGCAGATACAGTAGTGTGTCCATTTGCATCCACGTACTTACTGACTGACTGCACCGTCATCGGCAGGGCGTCAGGCGTTTTGCCCTGGGAGCGTTTGTGTCGACTCTTAGCGGCGGGAGGGCTAAACGCCATGAGGCAAGAGCACGGCGTTTCAGCCAAGCCGACAGCCGAACGCGCGTCACCACGGCGAATCCGGCCCCTGGTCAGCCGTGCGGAAGACCATCACGGCTGCCAAAGACACACGTACGTAGTATCTGTGTTTCCATACCATCTACCCTTGTAACACCACCACCCACACTGCATGACCTCCTCAGGGCTAGAGCGGGCTGAGCGAGCGAGAGAGAGGGGTCTGTCGGCGCAGAAGCTGCTTCGGTGGTGGTGGTGGTAGTGGTGGTGGTGGCAATGCACAGCCTGCCGGCCATGGTGCCAAAGCCAGGCACTGCCAGCTACCCACTGCAACTGCAACTGCAACTGCAAATGCAATGATTACTCGTACAAGCAGTTCTCCACTGCCCGTCTTCGTGATAAGCAGAGACGGGCTGGCCCAAAAAAAAAGTGTCATGGCCCCGACCGCCTCTCTGGCCCGGCAGTGTTGCAGGAGTCATGCAACTGCAAGCGTAGACAAGCCTTGCCCAAGTTGTCGACGACCAGCCCGCCACGGCTGGCCCGAGCACGGGATGCTCGCTCTGAAACGCGTCGCATCCTGGCGTACCCTCTGTTCTGTCGCCAGGCCCTGTTGATTCAAAAAGCCCGCCATAGCGCGCTGCTCCTAGCCCGGGGTTTTTTTTGGGTCTCTCTCCATCTATGTAAGCGGTGCTGGTTCCTCGCGCGACTCACCCACTGTTTCTCCTGTCTCCATTGCTTCTCTCAGTTTGCGGCTGCCCTATTTTTGGTCGAATTGAACTTCGGTCCGTACCACCCGTCTTTCCCAACGGCCTCGACGATACCCCTACCCTTCGCTACTCTTTGCTTCCCCTTACGTCCCCGAACCACACCCTGCGTTTCGCCCACTCGCTTCAACACCTCGAGTAACCCATTGGCACACGACCCTTCACATCTGCAACGTATTCACCTCGCGCTGCCACCCTCCTCTGCCAACATCCCGCCACCATGCTCACCTTCAAGAAAGCCCTCGTGCTTTCGCTCGCCTGCCTGACCCTATTCTTCATCTTCAAGTCACAACACCACGGCAGCACAACACCAAAGTACCGCAATGCACATGACATGCCCCGTCCCACCGCCTGGGTAAACCCTGCCGACCGCGAGCGAGAAAAGCAGAAAGCGAACAAGCAAAAGGAGGCACAAAAACATGCCGACGCGCCCGCAAAGGCAGACCAGTCAGACAAGTCGTTCGATGTCCCCGACACGCCCTCGAAGAAGCCAAAGACCCAGGTCAGCCTCGACGAGCTGCGCAAGAAGCCCCTCACAGAACAACTCGAGTACCAATTCCCCTACGATGTCGACACAAAGACTCCTGCCTACATCTGGCAGACGTGGAAGCACACTCCCCAATCGGGCGAATTCGAGGAAATCTTCCGCGAGCCAGAGGCCAGCTGGACCATCCACCACCCGTCCTTTGTTCACGAGGTCATCACCGACGATGTCGCCCTCCACTTGATCAGACACCTCTACGCCTCGGTCCCCGAAGTCGTCGAGGCTTACAATGCCATGCCAGCCCCCGTCCTCAAGGCCGACTTTTTCCGCTATCTCATCCTGCTTGCCCGCGGTGGCATCTACTCGGATATTGACACTACCGCATTGAAGCCTGCGTTTGAGTGGATTCCTTCCGACGTCGCCGCAAACTCATACGGCATGGTTATTGGCATCGAGGCTGACCCAGACCGCCCAGACTGGGCCGACTGGTACTCTCGCCGCATCCAATTCTGCCAGTGGACCATTCAGTCCAAGCCCGGCCATCCCGTGCTTGTCGATGTTGTGGCCAGAATTACTGAGGAGACCCTGAACCGCAAGCGCGCCGGCAAGCTTACCGCCAACCACAAGGATATTGTTGAGTTTACTGGTCCCGCTGTATGGACAGACACCATCTTTTCCTACTTCAACAACCCCGACTTCTTTGATATGAGCACAAGCAAGGGCAATATTACGTGGGAAAACTTTACTGGAATGAAGGCCCCCAAGAAGGTTGGCGATGTCATTGTCCTTCCCATTACCAGTTTCAGCCCCGGAATTAAGACCATGGGTGCCGGCGAAGACGACGACCCCATGGCCTTTGTCAAGCACAGCTTTGAAGGTAAGCGACAAGAATCCCAGTAGCATTCCTGCACCTGCATCTTATGACTTCATGTTTCTATTTTTAATGTAGCGCTGCATAGCGTATTTTCTTTTGGAACTGGTTAAGTTTAGCGCTATATCTCTCCACAAGAACCAGCTCCCAAGGGCAGTAAACAACACTCTTGTCAACCGTCTCGCCGCAGCGTTGGTGCGTCATTCGTTAGAGTGCTTACACGAAAAGCGTGGCCACTAAAACGCGTGGCGGGACCGTTCGCCCGTTCTAATGTCTAATTATTACTCCCCGGATGCTTATTCACGCGCTCTATACCCAATCTGACGGGTTTAAATACGATGTCAACATGCAGAGAACACGGGTTACCCGGCCATGCACGGCACAACTTGTTATCCCATGCACCGTCCGAGCCATCTTCCGCGTTTCCGTCAAAGACCGAGATTTTCTAACTTTTGATCAACAGGAACTTGGAAGCCCCAGCACCTCCGTCATATTGGCGAGATCTTCAACTGAGAGATCTTCCCGGACACCCCGTTTTTATTTTCTTTTCTCCAACACGGCCCGCTACATGACCGGACCTTGAACCTTTCCATATACAACGAACTACCTACGTTTGCATGCTATGCTTGCAAAAATTTGTACGTGGGTGGGGGGGTGGACCGCCGATTGCACTAAGTTTATTCCACGCGTTCCGCTCTACCGGGAATCCTCGAAGAGGAGAGTGCCCTTAGTTGCATTAACCCAGCGCATCTGTCACCCAAAAACGGCCGTACTCCGGGGTTTTTCACGATCCCGCAGGTCAGCAAATCACGCGGTGTGCGCGGTCCGACTTTCCCCTTCTCCCCCTCTTCAAACCTTCTTGTTACTCGTCTTCCCTTTTGCTTTTCTTTTCTTTTCTTTTTACACCCTCGAGATTCTCGCTCCTCCCACACCGACGGCCCTTTTTCTCGCCATCGTTTTTCCGGTGTTTTTGTTTGACTCCCGCTTTATTTTTATGTACATGACATGATATTTTCTGGGAGCAAACAAAACGGAAGCGATGAGCACCTACTGGGCCACAGGGAGAGAGAGAGAGAGAGAGAAAATGCAAGTTGGGCGGGGATTTGACATGTGAAAGCTACTTAGTTATCAGCTTGTCTTGTCTCACCAACTTGGAAAGTATGGGAAGGGAGAGGAAAAAATATTCCAAACTGGCTTTTAGAATCGGCTTCAAGCGCTGAAGCTCGAATTGGGACACGTATGTGTGTGTGTGTGTTTTTTTGTTATTATAGAGAAGGGAGAGTTTTCCCTCTGTGTGTTGTGTGCGTGTGTTTTAGGATGGGTTGGTACTGGGACCTACTTATCCATTGTACAGTAGAAAGTATGATTTGCTTTTTTTGGCCATCACCATCATCATCATCATCATCGTCGTCGTCTCTGGATTCTGCCACGTCATTGCGTTTTTTTTTAGAGAAAATGCGAATAGAACTTGTTGTTTGAATTCAATACAAAAATTTCTTGATATTGATGTTCTGGTCGTATACTTGGTGATAGTAATACAAAGGTCGAATGACAAAGAAACCAAATAACGTCATTGGGTATCACATTCTACACCACATCACCCCACACATGCAATCTCATGCAATCTCATCCTCTCTCTCCCCAACAATCCACTCAACCATCTTCCATCTTCCCCCCCTTCAGTGCCTCCCCCCTCCAAACGCCTTCCCCACCGCATCAACCATACTCAATAAACTGCCCCCCAGCGTCGGCCGCCTCTCCATCCTCTTCTCCCTCGCATACCTCCTCTTATACTCTCTTTCCGTCTCAGAATCCAACTCTCCACTTGCATCCCTATTCCCATTGCCACTCCCATATCTGTTTCCATGCTCATCCTCATAGTGCTGACTGTACGTCGACATTGAGCGAGTGTACGGAGCGTAATTTGTTGTCCTTGTCGTTGTTGTTGTTGTTGTCGCTGGTGGTGCAGCAGGAGGGGGATAGGAAGATGCATAAGGGTGGTAGTGACGAGGGGTGGGTTGGTGGATTGGGATGCCAATGGGTTGTTGGCTGGATTGTGTGGCTGGAGGGGGACCGGGAGGTGGAGGGGGATAGCTGTGCGACATGGAGGATGTCGAGGATGTGCGGGTGTGGCGGGTCGGTTGCGGTTGGTGTTGTTGGTGGGGGAACGAAGGTTGAGCATAGGGAGGCGAGGAGGAGTACATTTGCTGAGATTGCTGCTGAGGCATTTGCGAAAAGTAGGTTTGCGATTGGGGGGCGTTGGGAGTCGTGGGATAGGGCGGAGCTTGGGCGTGTTGCCCGTATTGGGTGTGGAGGTAGTTGGACTTGTTGGAGTCGTAGGACGACATTTTGGAATTGGGTTCGATATTTTGCGAGACACGGGTGCGCGTGCGTGCGGGGGGACGGAGTGGCGTTTATGACTTGGAGTATCTGCGTGCCCAGCGTAGTCTCGAGGTGCTGGGCTCTTGTGCTGCGCTGTTTGCTCTTGGCCCTGTTTTCGAACCTTGTCCGATCGACACGGGCTGGATGTATGGCGTATGCGGCTGGTGGTTATGCGTCTCGCGTGCGAGTTAGATGACAGCAATTGATAACAATTAGTAGTAGTCGGTACGGGACGTTGCGCCTGGCGCTGTATCAAGCCTCAATATATGTTCACTGCATCTCACCCCTCCGAGCCTTGCGCTCTTGGCTGGCATCACAAAGTTATAAACGGTCCCATCTGACACTGGGTCGACATGCACCGCGTATACATAATTGTGACGGGAGACGCTTCCCACCAAATGGCATCTTCTCTTGCGATTCAGTTTGGCCGCCAAGTTGCGCCGTATGGTTGTAGCGTATGGATGGCGGCAATGTGAGGGGCAACAGAAAGTGGTCGGCTTATGATGTCACTGCTCTAGCCAAAGATTGTGCGCGGAGACGGGCCAAACCGTTAAGGTTCCTGACGTTAGCGAAGCTTTGATGGTGTGCAAGGAATACATGTTGTTGGTGGAGATGAACTGGAGGGTTGTCGATCGCTCGCAGGCGCCGCAGTAGTGCTGTGGCAGGAGCTTGGCAGCATTCTGTGCCCTTGATTGGGCGATGTCGCTATTGTTTGACTGGTGGAGTGTATGGAATACAAATACTAGAAACCCATGCACCCAACTGGATACATACAGGCGAACAACACACTCGTTTGGGTGAATTCATTATTGAATCATTCTACCGACAGCGGCTTCTGCGATTCACCCATGGAATTTTTGTATTACGTCTTTCGACATCACTCTTACACCACACTGTCCGACTGTCGGAGCATTCAACAGGGCCATCCATGGTAATGCAAAGGTCATATGTATTCTCTTCGCATCACCCTTCACTCAGCACCCAAACGAGCCAGCAATCTGTTCACAAGACCACACACGCCCACGTCACGTGCTGACGACAAGTTGGTGAGGCTGTGCCGCATCGCCACTACGCAGCCACCTCCTAGCGCCAGATGATGGTGGAGTCGGGCAGCCGAGGGCTGCTGCCTTGCAAACCAACGACGTGGCACGCCTTCCTATTCGCAGCCATTCACAGCCAAAATGCTGACGATGGCGCCAAGGACAAATTCGTCATGGGTCAACTATTTCGCTTGACTTACCCCTCCACTGTCCAAGGCTGAGCCATACTCAGCCCCGGCCACCTTTCGTCCGTCTACGATTACTGTGTGCATCCTCTAAGAAACAGACTCGGAAATCGATCTCACCTCCTGTTTCCATAGCCAGCCACCCTAGAGTCTGCGCGCGTCGATCTTATCTTGTCCTATAGTGCTTGCGCCGCACTGTTCAGAAGTTAGGCAGGCATGTCGTACTACAACCAACCACCCGGCGGATACCAACAACCCTATCCAGGCCGTATGTCATTCGTTGCTCACTGTACAGCCCGACCGCGTTTGCATCCTTCATGTGCTGCGGCTTGGCGCCAAACTAGGATTCATACTAATATCTCCCAGAAGGTCCTCCTCAAGGTTACGGACAACAACAGTATCAACCACCTCCACCCCAAGGCTACTCTCAACCACCCATGCAGCATCAACAGTACGGCGGTTACCCGCCCCAGCAAGGTTACGGCCCGCCTCAAGGTCAATATGGCGCCCCGCCCCCGCCCCAGGGTTATGCTCCTCCCCCTGGGCAGTATCATCAACCACCACCGGGTCAATATGGTGCACCTCCAGGTCAATACGGTGCACCGCCGCCGCAAGGACAATACGGGGCCCCGCCACCAGGCCAGTATGGAGCCCCTCCACCGGGCCAATATGCTCCTCCACCCCAAACAAGTGGCTATGGCGGCCCGCCAACCCAACCGTCTCTCGGCTACGCCCAACAGACAGCCAACATTGACATGATGAAGGACGTTGAGGCTATCCGCAAAGCCATGAAGGGCTTTGGCACTGATGAAAAGGCACTTATTAGTCTCTTGGCCAAGAAGGATCCCATCCAGATTGGCACGATCCGTGCACAATACGACCAACGCCTAATGCGGAATCTAGTCCAGGATCTTGAAAAGGAGACTAGTGGTTACTTCGCAAGGGGACTGGTGGAGATTGCTCGAGGACCCCTAGTATCTGACTGCTACAACCTTATGGAAGCAATGAAGGGTCTGGGCACAAAGGAAGTTATCCTGGATGACATTCTCGTTGGCCGCAGTAATGCCGATATCAACATCATCAAGCAAAAGTATCAGGAACTCTTCCAACGGTCTCTTCAAAAGGATCTCAAGGGTGATCTCAGCGCCGGTACTGAGCAGATGTATGACATGATCATCTCAGCACGTCGTGCAGAGGACTCACATCCTGTGATTCCTCAAGAGATTGACCAGGCCGTAACGCAGCTACAGGCCAGTCTGGGTGGCTTCGCCAGCAAGAATGCTGCGCAGGTCTGCCAGATCCTTACTAGCAAGAATGACGCCCAGCTCAGAGCGATTGCACAATCCTACCAACAGCGATTCCACAAGTCTCTCGACAGCGTGCTGAAATCTTCATTTTCGGGTCACATGGAGGATGTGCTTCGTCTTCTGGTGCGCCGTGCTATCAACCGGCCCGAAGCGGAAGCAGTCCGACTGGAAGAGTCCATGGCTGGCTTAGGCACAAGAGACGAGCTCCTCGTGCAGCGTGTTGTGCGATGTCACTGGGATAGGAATTTCATGAATGCAGTTAGCACTGCGTACAAGCAGGTCTACAAGAAGGATCTTGTCAAGAGGATAGAAGGAGAGACGCGCGGTGATTACGAGAAGCTCATGGTTGCTTGCGTTAAGCCATGAGCGAATTGGAGTTTTTGCTTATGACTGGGAGGCTATTTGATTACGATGTCATGTTTTATTCCTCTCTAATCCTTTGTCATGGCCGACATTGTGAGGAATACCCCGTATTGGTCGAAGAGTAGGTTGTTATTTTTTAATTTTTTTTCCAAGACGGGGGTATGTGAAATCCAGTAGATGATTGTTTTTTTCAATAATTACTCTCTTGATTGAATTCTCATGCCTTCATTGTGCCTATATCTACTTCAAATATGCCGGAATGTTTGATATCTGATATGTTGTGTCCAAAGCGTTACATTCTATACATCAACATTGTCTAGTAAAAGTACCAAAGATTGATATCATATCGTATACTTTTCCACAATCTGTTATACACAAGTCCAACCTTTGCTTCAACCCCCTCACCTCTGATACGCCGGCGGCGGAACCTGCTCCCCAACAACCCCATTCGTACCACCCTGCCTCATCATCATCATCTCCCTTGCAACATCCATCTCGCCTTCTCTCAACGGTGGCGGGGGCTCCTCTGGCGGTCCCAAATGCCCACCCGGTCTCGTCATCGGCTCAATAACCACATCCCTCATCTCAACCTCATGCTCCGACTCCTTGCCCGCACACTCGAGCAGCAAGTTATACTTGACATCGTACCGCAACGCCACAGCATACGTCCTAAACGTCGGGGGCACAATGGTGCTAACTAGTAACCCATCCAGCGTGGTGTCGTGCGTGATTTCGATACCGGGTTTGACATAGCGGTGGTTGAAGAGATCGAACTTCTCGGTGATTTGGCTGCGGGCGTCGCCGGTGGGCGCGGAGGCGAGCGGGACGCGCGAGGTGATGTGGGCGCTGACTTGGGCGCGGATGCCGCGGAGGTGGATGGCAGCGGGCTGCTGCTGGTGCTGATCGATGCCGCCATTCATAAGCGTGGCTTGGAGAGAGATTTTGAGTGTGCTGGGGGCGCCCACGCGGTACTGTGCTGGGGCCCGTAGGACGAGGAGCGAAGTCGCGGAAGTGTCGTCGAGTTTTTCAGTACTGCTGTTACGGAGGCCTGAGGCTAGGCGCTTGAGGGATGCCCGGCGCTCCTTTGAGGGGTCTGGAGTTGAGGGCCGGGATTTGCGTTCAAAACGTATGGGGGGTGCGGGGAGTAGAGGGAGTGGACTGGGTATATTGAGTTCGGGGACGGAGGGGCTGAAGCGGAGCTGGTGAACTACTACGGGATTCAGGGTGAAGGATGTTTGTTCTGCGACATATTCGGCTCTAAGAAAGTACTCGTTGCAGATATTGTTTTCGTTGCACCAGAGCGTTGGAGGGAGTTGGTGACCGGTCTCGTGTTCGAAAAGTGCATCTGGTTTGAATGGGGCTTCATTTTGTAACTTGGGAGTTGCTTCGACTTTTTCTGGGAACCGGAATTCAAACGGGTATTCTATCCGTCCTGGCGGGCATGTTGCAGTTGGTGTCTGGATCCTTGACAATGTTTTTTCATGGCAGAAGAGCTCAACCTCAGCACAGTGGGGATTTGCAGGGTTGCGGTCGTTGGAAATGCGACATGTTGTTTTGCCGATGAACTTAATCGTCACGCGCTTGATTTGCAATCGTGCTTTGACGTGTACTACCCCTTTGACCAGGTCATTATTGGTGTGAATAGTACGCCGACTAGACTTTGAGAATGCAATGGAAATTGGTCCTTCTGGTGTATTTTGGCGATCCGGATGGTGATGGTCGCTGTACAGTTGTGGTTGAAGCACGTAGCTGTAAAGCTGACGCGCCGATTGGGCTTGACCCGGTAGTGTGGCTGCCATCCGGACTATTTGACCAGCTGAACGATGGCAGCAATCGACAGAAGAAAGTAGCAATTAGGGCCGCAGACTTGGCCTGATAGCTTGCCGTAGTAAGCCGCGTCTTACAAATGCGGATCTTACAAAGCCGCCTGCTTTGAACTGCATCAAAAGACGCACGAGAAATGGCGGTGATAGTATACCCCGCTTCCGTACTACAAGCTTTTATTTCGGCCGACAAACGCCAATTGCGTATCTGCTAAGCTCCTCTCGACCGCTTTTGAGGTCATTGAAATATCGAGGGTGGCAGTGAGTAACCGACCGATACTGGAAGATTTCTTCTGTGCATGGAAAGCTATGCAGGGAGACTTAGTCGTTGCAAGACACTTGGAATTTGCCGAGCGGATTCGACTTACTTTGGTTCGATAACAATAGCCGAAATTTCGAAAGCGCCGTGCACTATTTGGATATGGATGCAGTGACGTTGATGCAAAAAGATGCAATATCATTGGTGCTGCGCAGGCAACTCCAGTCAGTCTTGGGACTTCAGCCTAGCTCCAGCAACCTGCACTGCACCCTCCTCCCCCCCTTCTGCTGCGCCCTTTGCACTATACGCTCATTGGATGTGTAATTAAGCCAGCACACTATTACTGTATCTCCTACTTCCAAGCAGCAAGCATCAAGCCGAACTACTCCACCGATCAGAATCTTTGGTAGTCACGAGTATTATAGTGGGGCTGTCACAAGTGGCTATGCAGTTGCAGGCGGGGGTGTTCCAGGCACCCATCGCTCAGCTTACACCACCACCATGATCCATCTACATTCTGAGCGGGCGATTCACAGGCATCCCCAACCTCATCTTTATCGGAAATCCTTGCCCTGCATAGCACAAAGACATCTGCCGGCCTTGCCGCACGGTTGAGGCGTGCCAGGGCTTTAATTTGACTTCATGCCATCGTCCAGATCTTCATTCAAAAGAAACACTCATCAAGACAGTCGAATGAGCGCGTAAATTTCACGGCAGTGTCACTTGCGGTGAGTAGTCGGCGGCTGTGCACACTTTTTGCGAGTGCTGCCTATTAAATGAGGCTTCCGCCGGTGAACAACAGGAAGTCTTTGTTTTTTGGCCCTTTTGTCATTCGTATCCAGAAAACTAAGTTTGCAGTAATCCTTGGGAGGAGATTAATCAAGATTTCGGATCGATGAAAGCTACGTAATGTGTAGGCAACACTACTCTTCGGTGTGTGGTCATGACGAAACACTGGGAGGAGGCACACGAGAGCAACGATCTGGCGATAGTAACGAATGATTATCGGATAGAAGAGCAAAACGAAAAGAATATTGCGTACACTATCTTACAACAAAACGTCTCTCCAACTAACACCGAAAGAAATCCAAAGAAAGAAAAAGGTCATCCAAAAAGAGAACTCCGCAACGCCGATCTTGCCCGTTAAAAACGCCTCCCATGCATCCCATTTGTTGCTAACATTGCCAAGTCTAAGACCGTTAGAAAGATGCTTCATGAAATGACTGCAACAAGACTTACAATAAACCATCCCCCCGAAGGCTTTCCCAAAGGTGCACTCAGCTCGACTTATTGAGTACTAGCATCATACAATATGCACTTAGCATCGCGCCAGTGGTTGTAGCAATTAGCGCATCCATCATCAGTCTTGCAACTGTTGTCTCCGCCGCACTTGCAGCAAATCCACCGCCAAATCTTCGGGCGTTCAGGGCGTTCAACAGGGCACTGTGTGTAGCGGGAACTGCTTGCGTTCGGATAGCCGGATCCCTTTGGAAGAGGTGCGGTGTGCTGGTAGTGGTGGCGGCTGGATGAGTGTGCGTAATTCTCATTGTTGTTGTTGCTGTAGTTGTTGTGAACAGACTGGCAGCAACCACACCTCCTATGACCGCAATTGTAGATGGGGCATGAAGGCATCAGGGAAGTGTTTGCACCATCACCGCACTGGCAGCAAAACCAGGAAGACATGGTGGTAGCAGGTTGCTTAGGTAGAGCGTTGAGAAGGAAAGAAGTGTCGGAGTAAAGATGATGAAGAGGAAGAAGTGTTCAACTATTGCGATGATGAGTTGAGATGGTATGAAGAGGCCTTTTAAGAGGAGCGGGGGCCCAATATCTATACTATGCTTCAGTAAAGGGTTTTGGGAACAAAAGCAGGAAGACGGTATCATACCCTCGTCCCGGAGTCCTCTTCAGTCCTCTATCATGGCTTAGCCATCGTCATCGCCCTCTCATAACCCTCTTGCCTCACAAACAGGGCAAGAACAGCTGCCTCCTCATGGCTGTCAAGCTCCATTTGCCGCCTGGCACCAGCAGTCCTGGCGGGCACTCGTCACTCGTCCCTCGGCGGTGGTCCCGCTGTGCCAATGAAGCAGAGGGAGGACAGTGGCGGAGCCAACAAAAGCACGGGTCACCGTGAAAAAAGTAGCCGGAGGGGTGAAAAGGAGAAAAAGGCAAGGGTTCTGTCAGGCATTATCGGATCAAACAATAGTTCCTGAGGTTGTTTTGTGGACACGATAGGAGGCGACGACGTTGATTACAGGGCAATGAATGCACACATGACTTTGTAGACTAGGCTTGATGAGGCGTCAGGCAAATGGGCGGCCTCAGGACTGTCTTCGTTGGGAGTTAGTGTAGGCAAATACTTGGCATTTTGCGTCCGCCAGGCGCACACAACAATTTGGCCCCAGCAGCGGGCTCGTCTGAACTTGCGGTGTAGCTCGCTCCTTTTGACTTGTTTCGTGTCTCAGGAGAATTTCTTCCAATCATGGCCGTCGCCAGGACAACAAGCATTTCCTCTTTTCGCCACTGCAGAGAGAGCCGTTGGGTCGGCGTGTCTTGCCCTCGCTGTGGGTGTGCTCTTGTTTCGTGTACCTGTGTACCTGCGTATTCATGCGAGAATGCCTTGGATAATGCTTGCGCGAATTTCCCTCTTCAGTTACAATTTCCAGTGACACCCATCATCGTGGTACCCGTTGTGAGTAGTGAGGTTGTGAGTTGTGAATTTCTCATTTCATCAGTTCAGGGTGAGTGAGCAGAGCATATCACGATTTTGAGGTTGAGACAAAAATGAGGTGGAAAACAAGTATATTGAAACGACAGACATATTGCATAACGAAACCTAAATCCATGCCTAATCCTAAATGCCCAAAACCACCTATACTCCTCCATGTGACCCCTGTAAAAAGCAATCCAAATAACATGCTCGGACCGAAAATGCCGCTGAAAGACTGATTTTCCGCCGATGATGCAAGAAATGATGGGTTAAACTTCCGAGGTCCGTTCACTAAGTCTTTTCCAACACGCAAGCAGAGCACCTTTGGTGATTGCATGCCGTGCACACGTTTTGCCAATCGCCTTTGGGACCATCCTTACAGACTGAACAAAACCAGACGACTGGGGCGCCATAGAGGAGTACAGATTTGTAATCCGGTAGGCTGCAAGATAAGATCGGCGAAGAGGGTGCGGATGTGTTGTGGCTCGAAAGGTGATGGTCGACGAGATAGTCCGTGTGAAGCGTGGGTTCGCTCTCATCTGGAATGGAAGGAACCGCTGCGCCCTCGAGAAATGCCGTGTTGTTGGTCTGCGAAGACACCGAATGACGTTGAAGAGCCGAAGTTGTGTTGGAGTCCTTGGTAAGATAGTGAAGAGCGGAGTTAGCAGCCATGATGTGCGATGCTGAGACAGTGGGTTATTGATGAAGAATTTAGAGTACTATAACTAGCAATGTATTTTGAGTGAGAGGTGTGTATCCAGGTAGTGATATGAGACTTAACTCTGAGTGACGGCAGGAATTTAGATGTTAAATGTATCTCGCGCAGACAAACCCCACTCGAGTGAATGCCTTGTGTTCATCATTTCTTCTTGCTGCGCCTTCTGCCATGAAGCTCCAAGAAGGCATCTGGTCCTATGCCGGGATGTTGATTCGGTGGTTTAGGTGATAAGGCATACAGGTTGATGCCCAACATGGATAGCCGGTCAGTGATACGCAGTGAATGTCGGAGGATGATGAGAGTCCTACGAAATACTAGCCAGGATCTCCGGCATTAAGATGCATCGCCACATTACAACCAAGTCGGCGTGTTGTTGAGAGAGTCTTAGGGCCAAGAGCAAATGTCTGATTTTCTGTGTTTGCCTTACTCAAAACCACATGATAACCTTCACATCAGACCATACCAAGTTTCTTCCCAACATCTAGATCGGGACGTGCGACGACATGTTGTAGTAACGTGGGGTGTTGTAGGCAATACCTCCGTACAGTTTGGTATGGCTAGGTGCTGAGATAAACCGAGTCAACGAGGCGATCGGTCATTTGCCTGATTGCCTGATGGATTGACTCATTGGGATAAGGAGTCCCGGAGCTTGACAAAGGTACTAGTGCCCGAATCAGCAATCGTTTGATATGGGACTAGATTAAAGATCTTGCCTACTTACCTTGGCGCATCGAATATGATTGTTAGCCTGATTCGATAAAATAAGCATTGGCGATTTGTAGGCTTGAGTCGGATATAGGCATTTCAGCCCCTGCGCTGCTTGACGCCGAATAGAGCTTAGACGGCGCCTATAGCCTTCACAGCCACTGTCGGGTGAAAATTTTTGTACCAAAAATTTTGTGTTACCGGAAAAAACCCCCCAAGGCCGCTAATGGACTTCAAGCACTGCTGATACGGTTGATCGGCTGGGCTGTGCATGTTGCTTTACTTCTGCATTGGCTGTTGTTTCTGTTATCGATATTCAATAGCTCTACCGGTATAGTACGATGATGCGTTAGTAGTGCTGTAGCCTGGAAGTCTACGCCTGAATATCTGTTCCTGAATATGACGCCGTATATGTAACGGTGGGCCAGCGACAATCATTGGTACGACCAACTCGTGGCAGTGCGAAGCCAGATGCCTTCGGAGACGACGACCGCTTACTCATACGAGTAAACCTTGGCTATGTAGCTTTGGAGGCTTGATGCTTATACATCGAAGCTCGGGTGCCATACTGCGCGTAGTCAGTCACCTGGACGTGAATGGCCAGTGGACGGCAAGTTTGCAGACTGCGTTTGGCCATTTACTCTAACAAGAAGCACTAGGCAGACTCACTGTATGCTGGGAAGGAATGGAGCTTGCGCTGGTCTGGCCGTGGGTCAGTTGGTGCTAAATTTCTCTGAGTACCAAAAGAGTATATGCTTCGCTTTTACACCAGGTGCAGGACGTAACGTATATACTACACCGAGCGTTTTTCAAATTTGCAACAGGATTCAGCCTGCTCGTCTTGAACACTATCTAGATGCAACCTTTTGGATCCCGCTATCTACGCATGATTGATGTCGCCTTTCCAGAAACGGCGAAAAAATCAGGTGAAGGGGGCCGGAATGGCGCCAGTACTACCACCAAAAATCACTGGACGAAGAGCAGAATGAAGCAATCCAGCCTTGGCCTCAGCCTTGGGGAATCCGGTCAGTGCAATAGGCTTAGCTTCAATGATCTCGTGTGTGTGTAGTCCTTCGAGGCGGTTTTCGGGGCGGTCGTCAGTCGTATCAGAGGCACCCAAAGTTGCATGTGCTCTCTTGCGATGTGAAATAGATACAGGCCGAGAGTGAAGAATGATGTGACTGCTAGGCCGGGCTGTAGAATATTTCTTGGGGCTATATGCACGGTTATGTAAGGCGTTGATTGGCGAGGGACGTGATGCTCTTTGCTTCTGACCGAGAAGCCAAAGCAAGTGGTTTTTCCTAACACGCGCGGGAGAACCCCAGAAAGCATACTGATGTTTTGCACAGAAGCACAGCAAGGAAAAAAGTAAAGGAGGTTGAGAGTTGTTGACCGGGCCTTGAGCAGTCGAGGATCATGACGTCGACAGTGGCCAGGCTCGGCCGATTGGTCGGACGGCGCGTCGCACACGCGTGTACCTATTGCTCGCGGCGGAACTGAAGACTTCTCTGAGTTGGCGATACAGCACCCAACAGGATGTTTGAAAGACCACAAATGCAATGGGCCAGCAAGCATTGCAAGTCTCGATGACGTGGTTTGTGGTGATGTTGCCAAGCCCGCCGAAGGGAGCGAACTAATGGCGCATTGTTCGCGATCTTGGCCCAGCGGGCTGTGTTGTGCAACACCAGGATTCCTCCTCGTCAGCCTTCTCCCGAGGGCTCCTGGAGTGAGCGCAGCGATTCCTCCTGTTCCACACTCTGTCGCGATGGCACCACCACCTCTCCCGCCAGCAGTAACTGATCCGCCAAAGCCCGGTGCCATCACCAACCCCGCCGTAGAACAGAAGATTGGCCAGGCGACCTCCGTCATCATCCCTCTCCTCGAATTCGGCGCGGTGGGCTTCGCAACCTGGGTTTTTGTGTATCTGATCTGTATAAAATATCTTATCAACCCATCGGACCAAATACAGCGCGATTTCGATATCCAACCTCGGCGGTCCACCGGCATCGCGCTCATCGTCGTATACGCCATTCTCCTGCTCTTCCTCACCATAACATGGCTGCGCCTCCTACAAATGATATGGTCAAGGCCTGATATCGTCCCGTTTGGAAACACTGCGCAAGAGAAGGAACATGCCAGCACTAGGGACTTTGCATTCGATCAGTATGACGCATTCATTTGCGACTACCAAGGGCTACCGCTCTGGTGCGACAAGTGCCATAACTGGAAACCGGACAGAACACATCACTGCAAGGAGTTGGGTCGATGTGTGAGGAAGATGGACCATTACTGCCCTTGGGCGGGCGGAATCATAGGAGAGTCAACACACAAATTCTTTATGCAACTAGTAGCGTACGCGGCGCTGTACACGACTTTCACTTGGATCGTAGTGGCTATTTTTCTGGCGGAGCGCATTTCAAAGGTAAGTCCCTGCGGACATCACCGGCGCAGTTCCACGGTTTCTTGGGTCGTTTGAACGACGTATTAACATGTTCCAGATGGGCTCACGGCCCGGTACCTGGATTGGCGCTCTTGCAGTAGGGGTACTATTCAGCGTCTTCAGCTTTACCATGTCCTGTATGACAGGCTGGAATCTCATGATAAACTACACCTCGGTCGAAGGCATCCAGCGTGGGGGCATCCATAACATTGCCTTTCTTATTTCCCAGCCATCTCGTCGTTCGAGTACTACTATGCCACCGGGAACGCCACCGTCGCCGTCTGGAAAGACTCATAAGAAGAAGCCTGACAGGACTACAGAAGGAGAGAGGATCGAAGAGGACTGGCCTGTTTTGACTACCGTAATTCGTGCTTCCAAGCGCTCCTACGTGGTGATGCAGACGAAGCCATTCGAACACCCTTGGTATACGACCCTCATGCAAGGCTGGAAAGACACCATGGGCGACGGTATACTCGACTGGCTACTTCCATTCAAGCAGAGTCCGTGTAAAAATCGGAGTCACAGAGGCGAGTTCGCATGGGGAGAAGTGGTATACGACATGGCGCGGGCGTACGAAGAAAAGCATCCCGAAGCGCGACTCGCGCTGCTTCACGGGTCAAGCAGGCGATGACATTGCTACTTCCATTTGATCATTTTTTTTGCATATACTCCGGCGAGCGGAGTATGCAGAGTTTGTTGTTCTTTTCTTCTTTTCTTTTTTTTCAAGTACATGATACCCACGTACGGAAGTTTGTATATAACCGCCCACCCCAGTAGTAACCGGTAAAAACAAAGTAAAAAGCGAACGAAACAAAAAGCAAGTAAAGAATGAAACCTCTTAATCGGAACTCTGGCACACTTTATCTCAACGTCACACGGCTCGCCATCTCTCCTGACATACTTTGTCCAGCCTTTTAACTAGAATGTCAGCGCTGGCAGGCTAACACAATCACCGTTTCACGTGTCTACATGGATCCTTTTAATGCACACATAGTTACCATGACGTTCAGTCACCGTCGCACAACCATATAGTCGTCGCACAAAAAACCACGCATCTCCCACGTGGCTCCCGTATCTGGCCATCTGGACCCTTCTCTTTGTCTCATCCAACCAACCACATTTTTTCGAAACCACTGCTCATGATAGGTTGCTTTTCAACTCTGGTACACTCTGGGCCCCGCTCAACCCCCCCCCCCCCAAAAGAGCGGGTAATCGTATATCGCGGCCCAGACTTTCTTCGATGGAGTCCTGATGCTACTAGCACCAATGATGTATTGCGTGCTGTGACAGACCTTTGGGACGAAACGTGAATAGCCTGGCATGTGTGGTCAACAAGAGAGCGACAGGTCCGTACAGGAGAGACATCAGCCTCGCATTCTCGCAATGCGTAGTAGCATCGAATCCACTCGCTCAAACCGCAACTATACCATTGGTGATTCGCAAAGCAAACCCCTCCCCCCTGCTCCTAACACAAGGCATAAGCCGCATAACCCCAAACTCGCAACATTCACACTCTCGCCCCCCCCCCTCCACGTGGTTATGCAAACCTCCTTCCCACGTTCCCACGGAACGCCATCTATCCATCCACCAAAGCAGCAGGCACCAACCCTTCGTTTTCGCATTCTCTTTCCGCAAAAGCATAGCGATCAGCATAGCCATACGTCCTCCCAGAGGAGAGCACTCGACCCACGGTTTTACACCTGACGGAACTTGCCATTGCCATTGTCAAGTCGGACAATCAAACAAACCGAAAAAGGGCACACTACCGCGTACTTGGTATGTCGGTCTTTTTTGTAAACGAAAGCACGTGCATGTGCGCGTACGCGATTAGGTCTAACGTCCCCCTCCCCGGTTCGGAAATAAATAAAAAAAACGAAGACAGGATTGTAAGTGTTGAAGATCGTCATTTCGCACCACTGTGTGTGTGTGTGTGCGTGAGTGTACCTGGCATGGCCGCGGATGTGTTTGTGAATGTGGATGTGGGTGTGGGTGATCAACCAACAACCGCCAGATAGACAGATGGAGGATGGACAGGAAAGACAGGAAGCGAATACGGGAACCCCCGGACACATGCCGTTCAAAGCACGCGCGCGCAACGCATGTGCGGGTGATGGACAAACGGGAAGGGGGGAAATGCGCGAAATGGGCCGTGGTTTAAACCCATTTGGGAAGCAAAGATGTGCAACGAACATGTGCAATTTTGGTGGTTGGGCGATCGTCATCTAAAGGTCTTTTGCGGAGTATATTGTGTGGTTCCATATCCGACTATTTTCTTACGATCTCCGATGCGGCGAGCGGGCGCGCATGGGGATTATCCTTCTCTTTTGATCCAGGCGCGGACACATACATACATACTTGTGTCGACTCAGTCCGTGAGAAAATCTGGGGCGGAGACGAGGGAATACGGAAGGTGACATGTAGACGTGTATTTGTGCGGATGACGGTTGAAACTTGCATTGTGTCGCAGATAGGGAGGGCGGGGCCGGGGAGGGAGATCGGGAATGAGGCGAGGATTTACATGGACTAGGACTTGATCGGGATTATTCGCGGGTGAGTCCGGGGGAAAAGGGTTTTTTCTTGCCATGCTTTGTAGATAATATGCATGTAATATTAGGGTTATTGCTGCAAGAGGTTAGATCTTTCTTATTCTGCTGTATAGGTGGAAATGTGACGGGTTTTTCGTTATCTCCCTTCGCCTCGCCTTGCCTCCGCAGAATGGCCGTTTCATATGAACCATGGGTTCTATGTATGGTGGAGTCCCGCTGTTGAGCTAACAACGCTGTTGCGAAAGGCGAGGAGATTGAAGAGGCAAAAAAGGTCTGGGGCCGAGCCGGGGTTCGGGCGGTTGGCGAGCTTTCGTTCGGGTACGAGATGTGATAAGGGGATGCAAGTATCAGTCGATTTTGCGTTAATATTCCGATCAACACAACTTCGTTTCGATTGTCAGATTCAAGCAGATTAACGGCCAAAACACAAGGTGGGGTTAAAAAAAGGTTGAAGGAGCAGTTTTGCAATGAGGGTGACATGCGCTACAAACTGGCCTGAAACATCAGGACACTTTTTTTAAGCACACCCTTTACCCTCTCTTTCTCCGACCGTTGTCAAAATTGTCAGGCATGTCAAGTGATTTGTAAAAAAAAAAAAAAAAGTGGCACGAGCGAGTAAATGTTTCCGGCATCGTATCACGCTTCCCGTATGTGACTCGTTTCAAGGTGCGGCGGGGCGCGTGAGTGCATCCGACCGGCTCCCCGGTAAGAAGTGGCATCCTTGCAAGGTCATGATGGCTATGATGAGTTTATCTGTTTCTAGGAATGACAGGTTGGACGAGAGGCGAATGAGCGCCAACCTGGTCATATCAAGGTTATTAGGATAAGACGGTGCAGGGATGTCTTAGCCGAAAATGAAAATCATCTTAGCATCGAGCCAGACCAGCCCGTCCTGGCTCCGATCCCCCAGGGTTGACGCAGGCATCGTGCACGCCAGTCCCTAAGTGGTGTCATCCTTGCTGACGATCCACAGCAAGGGTTCTAATGCAAACCTCGCCATTCGCTTCACCGGATGTGATTGATTTGTGAAATTTAAACTCCAGCAGTGGGGCGCATTGCGAGTTTGGCTGGGCTGGCTGGGCTGAGTTGCCTCTTATGCTTCGGTTCAAGAAGCCGAGAGGAAGAGGGAAAGACAGGGAAAGCAGGCAACGCATGTTCCGTGCTCTCCTGATTTGGACGGCGTCGAGACCTGCGATGAAGGCGGGTTTGTGTGGACCCTGACTCTCTTTTTTGTAAGATTTCAATAATTCCAAACGTGTCATGGCTCAACTTGTTCAGACACTTTCCCGGAGTGGTTCCATGCCGCGCTCCTGGTAACCTCCAAAAATACCAACGGCTTCTGTACTGCCCTCAAAGGTTGACCGTTGTGCGTCTACGTTTTGAGTTTAGCTGGTGAAACGCCGGAACTTCTCATCGCGTTTCGAGCATAGCGTCGACAGCGTGATGACTATCACAAAGTCTGCAAAGATCTGGCGATGGGAATTTCCTCATCAGGCCAGTCTGGAGCCATATACAACCAAATCTGGCCATTTGGTCGGGGTCCTTTTTTATGTAGGCGCTAGACAATCAATAGTCCAACGCCCGGGATTCATCACCATGCATCGCCAAAGTTGCCAGTTTGGTTGTTTCATGTTGCCGATGCCTGGGGAAGAGTATTTGTCAATCAGTGTGAACCTCACGCCTCACAAAAGCACGGCCAAAAGTCATCGTCGATTATGCAAAATCTTGCGTATGATATTAGGATATGTGGGAAGGAGGATTTTTGGAGCTATGGCAAAATCAAAAAAAAAATCCATTGATACCTCCAATGTACGACTGCTGCGCAGCAGTCCCCGATACTCCGTTTCCCGACATGCAAATGTATCCTCCTATTTGGGTCCCAGGGTATTCAACGTTAGGAAAAATCCCGGGTGTCTCGTGCACCCAGTAAACGCTTGTAAAACCTTTAGTGCCTATGCTGAGCCTGAATGATGTGACAAGAAAAATCGCCTAGAGATAGATGGAAAGGAAAAAAAAATACATGGATAAGAAATAACGCCCAAGAAATTTTGGTTCAACCAGATCGCCAATGACGCAAAGAAGTGAAAAAAAAAGTGTGCTGGGATCGTACCCATGGCTGAATCTAAGTACAGGGCTAGTAATGGACGACGTATGGCAGGAATAAGGCGCCACTTCTGAGCGACTTGCGGGCCGGGCAAGTCTATGCATCAGGTCCGTTGGCTTCACGTTCGCGCTGCTCCTTTTGTGGGGCCCGACGGCGTGCGTTGATGAACCAGTTGGATACCTAAATCTTGTCAGTCACTTGTCCGGTATCACGCACTTAGATTTGAAAACAGTCCCAAAAGACAGATCTGAGCTCATTCAACGGCCCGAAAGCACGATGTCGTCTAAACCAGACGACACTGAAAGACAGAAATGGCACATGTAGTAAAAGTGTCACAGTTGACACTTTGGCTGGGGGATGTTGACTTACCTGATTGAGACTCAACCCAGTACGGTTGCAAAGCTCCATTTTCTGGTCTTCTGTTGGGTAGGGCGACTGACGGTTCGCCGCAAACCAGTCCTTGAGTAGGTTGGTAGCCTCCTTGGGTAGGTTTCCCCTTCGCTTTCTGTTGAACGCGCTGTGATCAAGACCGACATTGTGCTGGAAGCGAATATCGCCGCCATAGGGCGCATCGTAACCAGAGTAAGAGGCTCGCGGGTAGTAGGAATCCTGGGACCGTTCGTAGCCGCTGTAGGCGGCTGCCTGGTGGTCGTGATAGTAGCCAGGTTGAATCATGGGTGGTTGATAAGGGTTCTGAGCGATTGGCTGGTGGATGGTTGGCTGCGCAAAAGGCATCTGGCCTTGAGGAACGGGCGAAGACTGGTGGCGGACATGGGGGTTCATTGGGGGCGCTTGCTGGTGCGGTGGCGGGTAAGAAGGAGTTGCACGGTGAGAAAAGGCCGATGGTACAGGCTGTGCGGAGTGCTGGTGGGCGACGTGGGGTGGGTAGCCGGAAAGGGCAGGGTCGATGGCGCTGCTCATGCGGCGAGGTTCAGCAAAAGACGGTTCGATGCTACCGCGAGCGTAAATGTCGCCAAGCGTGTCGACACGCCTACGTTTGCTGTCGGCCCACGCTACCTCGTCAAAGTGGGGCTGCACATGAGGAGAGCTGTCGGCCGAGCCATGTCGGCGTTGGGGTGTCCTCGGTGGTGTGGTGGTTCGGGTAGTGTGAAGAAACTGCACATGTCAGCCGTGCTCAGATATAGTCGGATATGCAAGAGCCGAGTTTACCTCTGAAAATGAAGGGAGCTTGCCGGGGAAGCTTTGCTCTCCAGGCTGAATTGGCGGAGAGCTGCGCATGTGGTGGTTCTGGGTTTCTGTCAGATTACTGCTTGTATGTGAAGCTGGCTGCTTTGTTTCGCAGGGGCGCGAATCAGAGTCGCCGTCATTGTCGTCGTGGGAGTGGGTTTGCTCCAAAGAGTGTGGGGTAATGATTGAGTAGAGATTGGACTGTTTCTTCGGTGGTGGTGGGGGTGGTGGTGAAGTGTGCCGCTGATGGTAAGGAAAGACAAGAGAGCGATGCAGCACTGGGTCTTGAGATTGCTGGTGGTCCATGATTTGACTCCCGCTAGAAAACGGGGGTGGACAAAGGGCGGAGGATTTGTCTTGGTGGGCTTGTACTTGTGCAGTGGCGCGGAAGGAGCCGGGCAGTGGGGGGGATGGGGGCTTGAGGGCAGGCTCGAGGAAAAGGGGAGGCGACAAAAGTGTCGGGGAAGCCATGGAGGCAGAAGAGGAAGAGGTAGGCAAAGTAGTAGAAGAAGAATCATGACTTACCGCAGCAACCATGTTTGCCAGTGGACTCTCTGCAGAATGTGACGAGTTCATTTTGCGCGAGTGCAGTGGTTCACAGTGGCGGTGCGGAATATCTTGGAGGGTAAGATATTCCATAGGGGCAAGTGTGGGATGGTTAAATACTCTGGAGAGGCAGATGCAGGCGTTAGCAACAGAGTGCGGTGCATGTCAATGTGTCGATGGTGAGTGGACGGGGTCATTTGCTCATCCATAGTTGGTGACAGCTTGGTACCAGCGCCGACTGGCACCGTTGGTTGACTGGCACGGTTGAATGCCATCAGGCACGAGCGGGGTGGCAGGCAGAGCAGAGCAGAGCAGAGAGTGGAAGGGCGACTTACCCAGGTATCTAGGTGATGATGTAACGGGTAACTGGATGAGGCAACGTAGGGGGGGGCTATTATGGTACAGAGGGCGTGAATGGGGGAGTGAAGAATGTACAAAGGCAGAGCCACAGCGGGGGTCAGAGCGGAAAGGGAGCCGGCGCAAGCACACAGCGAATCGTACGGGACAAGGACGGGATGCTGGGGTGGTGATGACGGGTGGCCGGGTGTTTAAGAAGAAGTCGGATTGGCAAAGGAGGCGTTAAGGGCCAAGCAGGACTGCAACGGGCCGTACACATTACCATGCATTCTGATCGTGCAGCACGAGCAAATGAGCCAGGGGGGCCAGCGTGTGACGGCCAATGAGCGGGGGGTCAGCGCGGCTAGCAAGACGTGTGTAGACTTGACAGGTGAGGGTTAAGGTTTGGTCTATATTCTCCGAGCGTGCACATTGCAGGCTCTGGCCGGATAGAGGCCGAGGGGAGGGTTAGGTAGGAAACAAGAGACCCTCCGCCTACGCCGCAGATTCGAGGCACGAGCCAGCGCGCTGAAGCGGCGCCGTCTGCTGCAAGCGCCATTGAGCGTCGCCCGGTGTCTCCACCTCTCGAATCGTCGCAGATCTGGCTGCATCTGACTCGGCGCAGAAACGGACCAGGGTGTCGTCTGCCTCTGGCCCATTCCGTCGCACCCTTGACCTGCCCCCAAGCCCTCGTCGTCCAACTCGGCATGCCCACACACTGGACGCCGCAGCCATCTCGCAACGTTCCATGACGGCGAGGAAAAAAGCCGGCTGCGGCCAAGCAATACACTGCTCCACGCCCGCCTCGCCCTCGCCCTTGCTGGTACAAGGCCCCCTCTAGTTGCGCCCTCTCCCTCCCTCTCTGCCTCCTTCATCCCTTGGCCATTGTCAGGCCATGCCACCTCATTCCATAGAGTTTGTGCCTGTGTATCGACCTTGAACCCTGGCCCACCATGACAACGACAAAAAACAAAAACAAAGACCAAAAAAATAATTAACAACCAGCACCAACGCCATCAACACAGACTACAATGTGGACTGGGAGCGGCTCAGGAGCAGCATTTGCGGGGTGCTAGCTGGACGGCGCTAGCTTGCATCAATGTCCTCGACTCTCCTACTACCGCGTCTCCAGTCGTCGTCGTCGTCGTCGTAATAGTAGTAGCAAGTAGTACGGGTGGGCAATGCACCGTCTGCACGAGCACGAATCGAGGCCGTCATGACGGCATGTTGGAAGAGCAGGCAGTGCGAGTGCCTGAGGGGCAGCCAGGTACCCGACGACTGGAAGACAGAGTGGTACATGTCACGCAGCACCAGGCACGATAGCCGGCAGACAGCTGCCGCCGCCGCACTCAACCAGGCTGGTGGCTGAAAGGCGTCGACAGTTGTGCGACGGAGGCGTACCAGCATCCGGGGGGCAGGACTTGTGTGCGTGTGTCGAGGCAACACAGAAGAGGCGCTAGAGCTGCGACTGCGAGCGTTGGGAAGGCCGAAGAGGCGTTTTCGCCGTGCGACAGCCCACGCCCGCCGAGTTGCGACATGCGACAGTCGACATTGGCACGACAGTGCATTGTCGCCGGCTCTGGTTCGGCCGTGTCGAGCGGGAGATGATCCACCGCCGGGCCATGGTCATGGTCTTGTCTACGCCTGGCCACTCTGGGAACGACTAGGCGTTGCTTGTGTGGACCCTGAATCAGCTGCACATGTTCTGGTGGTATTGATGGGGATGACGATGACGATGATGAGGCGGATGGTTGCTGGGGATGGTGGTAGTGGCGGTGGTAGTATTGCTGATGATGCTGCTGCTACTGCTGCTACTGCTACTACTACCATTACTACTACCACTACCACTACCACCACCATCACTGCTGCTGCTGCTGCTGCTACCATACCCACTACAGGGCTCCGGTGTCTGTCCTTGCATGACTGCCACACATGTACATAGACACATGTACTTACGTGCATAGTACACATCACCCACAGCCTGGCCAAATTCGACAGGGAAGCCAGCAACAACACCACTAATACTAATCACGACGCCCCCGCCCTGGGGCCCGGGCAAGCCAGCCACTGGCTCGCACCCACGGCCATGACCACAGCCAACACCGTCCACCCACCCATCCATCCATCGCAAGTCGATGGGCCCCTTCTGCAAGTGACAGATGTCAGTCGCATGCAGAGCGATTGCTAATGGCAGGTTGGGCATAGTGCGACGACGTCTCTGCGCCTCAATGATAGACGGCAGGGATGGCGCCGCCATGCCTCTCTCGGCGTCGCGTCTCCCCGTCCGGTGCTGATCCTACGTCCCGCTAGCCGGCCGATCAAACACAAATGCATCTTACTATCTGCCTGGAAATGACCGACATACTCCCTCGTCCGCCTCGCTGTCATACATACAAACAAGATGAGACGCTCCCCCCGCCAACTCCACGCCAAACTCTACGCCGTCGCAGCCAAAACATCCAACCACCACCACACCCGCCAAACTTTGCCCTGCGCCTGCACCTGCTCCTGCGAACCTTCGCCCACCGCGCTTTGCGCCTTCTGATGAGATTCGCCCCTATCCTAGTCCTCGCATTCGGCACCCGTGCATGACGCCAGCACACGGCCTGCCTTGGTCCATGTACGTTACTTGCCTCCTTGGTCCGACCGTTATCAGGCTCGTGTGCACGCGTAACCCGCTTCCACCCTCTTGGCTGTTGTTCAACATGTCCACCATGATCATCCCGCCCGCACGCCGAACCTCTGGCTCGGGATCGGTTCCTTCGTTAGCAAGAAAAAAAATTTTGATCAGAAGCAACACCACCAAGCCTTGCCTGAACCGGCCGTTTCCAGCCAAATGCATTCCACGCGCCCTCTCACAAGCTTATCGCGTACCATCGACAGCAGCCACACGAGCGCACAGCAGCAACTGGCCCGCCTGACAGTCCATCAGTCCTGTTGCCGGGCAGCCACCATTCGTAGCCAGTCTAACCCTTCCCCTTGCGCAATGGACTAAGGGCCTGTCACTCTACGCCAGCGTGGCCATCGCCTTGATACTGGAACGTTAGTCAACGGTTCCCTTTGCCCGGTGTTAGGAGTTCTTCACAGCCGAGTCTCGCTCTTTGTTGCAAACCATGTCCAGTTGAGCTTGTTCTTGCAAGAAGCCGCCTCTTGCATCTAGATCTTCACTCTTTCACCGGTCTCTGTTACCCACCAGGCACATCCATCGTCACTGGTCTCGTTACACCAGACGGAAGCCACGGGCACTTTTTGTGATTCGAGACGGGCCTTCAATCTGCCCTTCCAAACTTTGGAGTTCACGTAATATAGACAAACGTTGCTTCCTAAGCACTATTGCCATGCGCCTAGAAGCATGCATATCGCTAGAATCTGCTTCCAAGCCTTTTGCCTAATGCCAACCCTCACTACAAGCCGAAGCTTCACGATCTACACAAGACAAGGCTGCTAATCGGTGCATCTCGATGATGCGACACCCCATCTTGTACCTCAGACCTTGGATCGTTCATCACACCGCCTGTTTGCGATAATGCACACTGGATCGCCTGCGAGATGAAGGGATCCGCTTTGATGTTTGTAGAACGAACCCATCGGAAGAATAGATCAGATACAAGCAATCTGACGATAATGACGAGACGGGCAGGCGTACCCGTGCCACTTGTACGAGGTTTACACATCGCCGTCGAAGCACATCTGTTGCCACATTCTCGGAATCGTCACTGCTTTGTCAACCACTAATGCGTGAGGATCGGTTGTCGTGAACGGAATCTTGTCCCTGTAGAAGGACCGATGGACAAGGAAAAGAATGCAGATACAGTTGCACAACGCATGGTGCTGTACATGCATCTAAATTACCCCACTCATTCTTCCGCATGCCAACAACCTCTCCAATGAACCGGCTTCCAGATATTCATGAACACCACATCATCATTTACCCGGTATCTGGGACGACTGCAGTAATCACTCACCGCATTCATCTACACATCACGATACCTTTGTAATGACAATATGGCATATGTACAGCATACTCGCAAGCGCTGCGCTGAAACGTCGTCACTCGACGTTTGTACACCTGGAAACCTTGTTGGACACATACACACACCAACAGGTATGGAAAAGCTTTTTTGCTTGCATCGTCGTCTTTGACGCTCTACCTGCGGCGTCACAGAGTTCGCTTTAAGTTCAGTGAGGCGACAATCTGCTGTCCCGCATAATTTCTGATGTTACCACTGTCCCAGATGCCGATACTTCCCCGCTACGTTTGTCTAGACCCATTTATTGTTGTCGACCAAAAGCTTACCAGCATGTGAAACATGAGCATCCATGTGTTGGTCGCACTGGATTGGTCGCTCTCTAATTCCGTTGATTCCTGGACGCCTTAAGCTCACTATCGAGTTGCCACTCACACGTTTCAAAGACGAGTGTCAAAGATGCTAGTTCACTCTATATGGCCTTTTCTATGATGATTTCTGATGTCTGCGCCGTGACAATGAAGACACTTGTTTTGGATCAGGGGCGCTGTACAGAGTCTATTCCATCACTACGTCTAGGCATTGGAAAACGAATTCCGACATAAATTCGGCGTCGAATTCCACTGATTTGTCGTCGAATAGGGTCGATTCCATTTACATATTTTTGTAGGCGCCATCTCCGTCGCAGGCGACTGGCTGCTGGCTACCAGTGGCATGCGAATCCAGTCAGCCACAATTTGGCACCGTCACGAGGACCTTATGCATAATACTGCCCGTCAACATACTCGGGCTATTTCGGAAATCACCTCCAAGGCCCAAGAATCTCCGCACATCAGCCCTTGTGGTTCTGCTCTCTTGGTTGTTTTGCCGATCCAACGGACGCTGGCCGAGATCTGACAGCTGCACATCTGTCAACAATGGCATGTATGTGCAGTTGGTTCTTTCTACTGTGCGGAGATTGGTATCCAATTAAGTATTGATCTACCAGAAAACTTTATGCAAGTAATGTGCCCAGTACGTATGGTGCTCGACGCGAACCACGAAAACCGTTGTCCGATGATAACCATTATTAGAGCATCCGAATCTGCATCAGTCAGGTACTCTGAAAATGCTGAATATTTGCGAGTCATATCGAATAGCTCATCAGTCTATTCGCCTGTGCTTGTGTGTACCGAACTTTCCATGGGCTATTGGGTGGCGGTATCTGCCCAATCAAAGCATTTCTCCGAGCGCGTCCCAGCTAGCGCACTTCTTCGGTAGCTGACACTGGTTAGCCAATTTATGACGCTGTTCCTGCATATGGATAGACTAAATGTGCATCCAGCCAGGGATCGTCGGCACAGCCACTATTAACCCTTCATCGTTCGGCTCCGCTTGCCAGGACTGCACTAAAACAGATAATTGAGCCGTGCTTCGCGTCGTCGAGATGACAAGGGGCGGCCATGTCAGACGCGACGATCAGCCTGACTGCAGATCCGGCCTGAGAGAAAGTTGCGACATGTCGATGCTGCAGCCATCCCGCATCTTCACGACGCCATCCCAGAACCCTTGTCTTGGCGACAGGCCTCCTACTTACACCTGCTCAGAAGCGCAAGCGAAAGAGAACCCGGCACCACTAACATCAAAATCTCTTGGCGCGGGACCAGGGATAAACAGGCCGATCTGGTTGTGTGTGACAGCCACCCGAAGACGGCGTTGCTGATCTCAAATGGCATGTCTCCGACCGTGAGTCCCGCCTTACATCACCCAGCTCAGCATCTAGAGCTTGGCGAGGCTGGCCGAGATATCAAATACTACAAACAAAAATTGTCCTGTGCAGTATTGATTGTACATGGTGTGACAAACAATGGTCAGGACCTTGAGGCGCATACTGTCACTGGAAGCATTGACGACTGGGCCGGGTCTAGGATACTTCCGAGTCTGCACGCGGCAGCGAACCACATGTGATGATGGACATTCTGGAGAGGCCAAAAATTGCAGCGATCTGCGTGCGGACGATTGTGACAGCTCACCTGCATGTACCGTCTGTCTCGGTTATTATCGACAGGCCATGTCCGTATTCAGATGTCGTTCACGAACAGCGAAGCTGAGGTATGCGGGAATACGGGGTGTAGATATGGCACCAACGATATTTAGGAGTGCTACTAGCAGTAGACCTCGCGTTTACGCTTCCGTCGCTGCATCGGGCCAAACACAGTCAGCTAGTGACCGCTCGTCTTGCCCCAAACGATGCAGATCGCCCGCAGGGAACCCTCCACCTGCATGTCGCACTCGTAGTGGCATTTGATACAGATAGGAGAAAAGCCATTGTCAATCGCCGCTCACAAATAGCGGATGGGCAACAAGGGATCGTTGCGGGCCGCTCAGTGTCTAGACCTTTCTCAAATCATGGTACGTCAGATGTGTCGAAACACTGCACTAGACGTCCCTAACGTCGAGCTTAAATTTAGCATGGTCCCTCCCTGGTTGGGGCAAGAATCCCTACGTTGAAACATGTCCATGTCATGGTAGTCGCTGTCAAAGGGTGAGAAATGCCATCTATTTTTCGCTTACCGTGTCTACTTGCGCCATCAGAATCAATGCCGCACATGTTTCAAAGCAGACGGGACGCACCCGATGCAGCTGACCAGTCGACCAGTCGACCCCGACCAGTGACAGTGACCCCCTTTCTCATGACGTCAGCCCCCGGACCCCGAAAGCCAAGAATGACACTAACTGACTGCATAGTGGAAAGTGCATAGCCTCCCCGGCCGACATCCGCTTCCAACGCTCTCCCCGCTGTCATCCGCAACAACTAACTGTCACCAAATCATTGGCGGGTTTTTATCCCGGTGGGCGACTAACTAAAACTTACGCACCCTTCCCTCCCTCAACCCCAGCTTGAGCTGCAAACCAAGTTAACAAAGAAGGCTAAAGCAAGCCCTCCACCACCCGAACTAGGGCGCAGCCGACTGACGGACTCTCTGGCTAGGCCCTTCTCCGCTGCGCGTCATTCGTGACTCTCCATGAGGCCATTTATTGAGCCTTTTTAAAAGTACCCTAATCGCAGAAAGGCGCATCTATCCCTCCCCGACCGCGCGCGCACACACGATTCATCAAATCATGTGACACATACGGAGCTGAGCGAAGGTCACTCACCATAAGGTTTACGGTCATGCATGCCAAACCCCTGCTTTTTCTTTTCTTTTCCTCTTTTTCCTTGCGCGCCTTGCAGATCGTAGAAGGCCTTCGCGAAGCTTGTGAACCCTCACAAGGAAGAATAGTTTCTTCCTTTTTTTTCCCCAATTTCCAAACGTAGTGCGCTTCCAGTAGGGTGCTAACGGTGGCTTCTCCGCATAGCCGCTAAAACCGCCCTTGAGGCACACCCTTCTGTACCCTGATTTCTTGTTTTCTCTGGCTTCCCTGGTGACTTGTTCGTTTTTCCTGACCGGATGCGGGGCATGTCACGAGCCTTGCGTTATACAGTAGTGTACATGGAGTGGTGTGCGGGTGGAAGTATGGGTGTATGTGTGTGTGAGTATGATGGTGGGCTGGTCGCTTCTTCGTTTCCCCTACTGACTACCAGCCTGTCTAGAAGCTATCTTTCTCCGATGACACGTTGTTCTTTCCTGATTACAAGAGCGGTGTAGAAGAGGGTGGTGAGGCCTTTTTTTACAGCTCATTACCCTTATGTGTGTAAGCCAGTACTAGTAGAGTTTATCGGGTTTTTTGGTAGTAAGCTAAGGTCTGCAATGCAGGTATATACCATGCTAGACTCAATCTTGTGTAGTGGCCAGGCTGGAAAGAATATTGACCTCTGTGACGTGTATTAGATTTCAACTTTGCAACCCTAATAAAAAGCATCGTGTTCTAGATATCGGTGAGATTAAAAAGTATATACTCGCTTTGTTGGTTTGTTTTATACGATATATCCGCGTTAACCTTAGATATAACCTTACTACTAGATACGAATAAGCTCAAGTCAGCACGTGTTATAGAGTTCGGGAGATTGCGGGTTGTATATTGAAGTCGTATCCGATAGCCTGCACTTTACGAACTGACTGGCAAGCTTATATCTCTTTCTCGGCCGATAGACTTATTGGGCTAGAATTCTGTATTCCCTGTCCTCAGCTAACTACATGAAAAGTAACTAAGATTAAGATAAGACTACAGGGATTATCAGACCCTGTCGCACTGCCTATAATGCGTCATTGCCCTTATGTCAATATGCATGTCAATATACGAACAAGCAAAAACCCTTTCGTATTCTTCCCCCTTGCCTCTTCGTATATACAGGGATGCAAACACCATGATTAGAAACTAATCAAGCAGAACCCTGCACATGATCATGCTGGCCTCTTTTCCCCAAACAACTATGCTAACTCTCTTTCTCAAACGACATTGTCACAATCTCTCTATTTTCCTTCTCACTTTTACATACTACCAAACTCTCCACGTACCTAAACAACCCAGTCATTCCCTCTTCAAACATCTAATGCCGCTATAGATTTACCTGATCCTTGAACAAAACGTGAATATGCCTATTTCTACTCCCCCCCCCCCCCTTTTTTTTTCCTATCTGACCTTCTTCACTTCCTTTCATCTATACTTCTTTCCATCATCTTCGACATTCACTTTTTATTTACATCACTATACAACATACACGGTTCCGCGTATGCTACGCTTATCGCGATAATCTGATAATTTTCTCTCTGCTACCTACGTAACCCTACAGGTCCGCGCCCTTTAGCACCCTACTACACTATACGCATAAAATAGAGAGTGGGAAACCACTGGAGATGTATAGTACCTCTGTATATCTCTCTAGATAGAAAATAGTGATAGAAAGATGTTGGTTCGATATCAACGCAGTTCGGATTATACGTTGCTTTGACTTTCTCTAAAGAAAGAATTGGTATAGGGGGTGGAGAAAGTAGAGTCTACGCCTATCCTTCCTATCTTTTTTTCTGTTTCCAACGTAGCCCCTCTCCTCTCTCTTTCTCTCTCTCTTCGTTCTAGTTTACTTGCTTTCCTCCTCACCTAATAGCCCATAGCACTGTAGTATAGAGGAAATGAAATAATAAGATATTGCTTATACATAGATAGCTCTTAGAGTTACTTGGGCTTGCCTCAGTAATAGTATTCGTGTTGGATCTTATAGCGTAACTACTAAATTATAATATCCGAGAAGAGAAAAAGGATACATGTGTGTTACACCCCCAATCCTGCGAGCATTTGTTGTCAGATAAATAGACATGTCTTCTCTTATTTTTTCTTGACAAAGAAAAAGAAAACACTTCTGAATACTTCTGTTCAGATGGGGGGAAAAAAATACTAGATGATGAGCTTGAGTACTATATTGCAGAATACGGGTGCAGTAAAACAGCCGTTACAAAAAAATTAGGGGTAAGTAGGGGAGGGCTATATCATTGTGTGATCGTTACATGAAAAATTGATACATCTCATTTCTTTCTGCTAACTTAACAAAGGTTAATGTGGGAAAACACTCCTCGGAAGTAAGTGGGTAGTGCTACTTGACCTACCCTCCGTAGCGGAGACGGCAGAGAAGGGATGAGATATCAATTTGCAAATATAGACTTGGTCCTGGTGAGAGTAAGCTTGCGAAAGGAGGTCTTGGTTTAGGTTGAGAAAGGCTGGAGAGAAGGGGGTAAGGGTGATATAGATACGATCAGATGGATGAGATGTATAGTCTTCTGTTTTTCTTCTGTATGATGTCTTAGTGATTGAATGGAATAATGTGCCGAGGAACGTGATATATACTTCTGAGACTTGCTTACTGCAATTTCTATCTGACCTTCAAAGTTTAGTAAGCGATTGTAGAGATTCGTTTATGCAATATTTGTTGGGTTTGCTATCACTTTTTCCTTTTCATCTCTTGAGAATATCACAACCCCCCCACAAGAACCCCCCCTTTTTTTCCCAAACCAAATACCCAACGCTCACACTCAACTCCACAAACCCTCAAATCTTCTCCCACAACACAACCACCTACAAAGTACTCTGATGTGAGACCTCCCTCTTCACCCCCTCCTCCTCTTTCCCACCCCCCTTGCCCACAAGCCTAACCCCAATACTCGGCTTATGTACCAACGTCTGCAACACAACACAATACCTCTCCGTCAGCTTCCCCAGCCTCTCCACTTCCTCCTCACTCACCTCCCTTCCATCCTCCCTCTCCCCAAACTGCACCGCAAAATCCAATCGAATCCCCGTCAGCCCCACCGGCGCCGTCTTGTCCACCCCCAGGGTACCGCGAAAATCCAAATCGCCCTCTGCAGTCACAGTGCCAGATACAATGGGGATACCGAGTGCAGTAGCAACGGCTTTGAGCGTGACACCGGAGCAAGCGACAAGGGCGTCGAGCAGCATGTCGCCCGAGCAGAGTTCACCGGAGATGGACGGGTCTTCGCCGCCGGCTTTTTGGTGGAGACCGGCGACGCGGTGGGCTTCTTTGATGGCGGGGCTGTCAGAGAGTTTGCATGTGATTGAGTGGCTATCCAGAGAGCCCGTGGACTTTAGGGTTACGACGGCTGACGAAGGGTCGGCGCGGTAGCCTTCTTTGATGGGGGCTTGCTTTTCGCGGAGGGCTTGGGCGGCAGACATGGTTGCGGTGGCAGTGATGACAAGATTGTGTGTTTTTGGGTTTTGTGGTGAGAACTGCGGGGTTTTGATGTACAAAAAAAAGAAGTCTTCTTGGAATGATTAATAAGTTGGGTTTATGATGACCTGGTATGCAATTGAGCCACTAGAAGGCATACGGAGCTTGCCCCGCAGAGGGCAGGTCATGGTTCCGCAGCCCCGCTTTGCCAGTTGAGCGGATGATGAAATGGGAAGGTGGGTTGTAACATCTTTTTTTTTTCGTTTGTGAAACAATTCTAGCACAAAGACGAACTAGATTGATTGAGTTCAAGGTGTTACGATGTAACGATATTATAGAACCATAGCATGGCTAATGTATAGCAATTGAGATGATAAGAGTTGACGATAAGATAAGGATGCGGGAACGATAGAACCTGGATGACGACTTGGCTATTTCATGTCATCTCCACTCGGTTGTGGGGTACGCAACTAAAGAGACTTGAACAATATTACAACTACTACAAAATTACTCGTCTGCGAAATTGTCGTTCACGCTTGGACTTATGCTGAACACTCAATCCATTACAAGTCCTCCTCAAGTTCCCTGCATTTAAACAAACGCATGAAAAACACGGACAAGCAACCACTAGAAAATGAAAAGCACTCGGTTGCAAATAAAAAGCCCTTGCTTGCTTCATTGTTACACCAATCTGATTTTGACTCAAAAGAAAACGTCCTCATGCGTGACTCTGGAAGCCGCCACCTTTTCGTCCCCTTCTCTTGCCGTCTTCAAAACATCCAGGCATGGATACGTACAAAACAAAATGACCCAACATGACTTGACGTGTGACTGTGTCTCCATTTCCGTTTGTGAAGTGCATTCACCCGCTCTCCTCTCTTCTCACGCAATGGAAAACCAGTAGAATATAAGATACAAGGTCGGTAGATAAGATACCTAATGCGCCAATGGAAAACAGGCAGGCTAACAGCCATTGGGTAATCACAACTGCTCTACGCGTTTTCAAAAAAAAAATCCCAGCAAAACGAACCAAGATAGTATAACAAGGGGAATGTTGTAATGTGTACGAAAAAGAAAAAAAACAAGACGGAATAGAGTAAAGAAGTAAGGGAAAGGCACACAGTAGGCCTATGCAATGGGAAAGGGGACACAGATTTGAAATTATTCTGACAAGGAAACTGGGGTATCGTGCAGAAGAGTGGCCGCCAAACGCACAAGGGTAGCGGTGGCCAGTCCACAAACGCCTGGTTGCTAGGGTGCCCTCCTCTTGCTCGGCTAACAAGCAAGCTCAGCATGTGAAATCAATACGAATCGTCGATTAAGAGCCTGGTCGAGGCAGTCAAACGGCTGGCGAAAGGGATCCAGAAGTGGGAGACAGAGTGCGCACAGAAAAGGTAATGAGTGCAAGGAAAAGGTCATGGCGGGTCGTGATGGCACAAGCCAAAAGAGCCAGTCTTTTATAGCAAGATGAGGTAGTTGCTGGGCGCGATACCTGTCTCGCCATTTGGCTTCTTGGCCTGCCACCACCGTCCGCTGACGTCGGATACTTCGAGAATATCGTGCTTTTGGAAGCTGATCTCGTTGGCATCGTCTGGGTTGGCCTCGTAGCTGTAGATGGCCTTTGCGCGGTAGGGGTACTCGATGGTGGCTTCTTGCTGAGCCTCGTCTTGTACTTGGGAGGGGATACCGCCAAAGGGCGGGGCGGACGAGTTGCGGGCGTTTGCGCCAGTGGGGCCTCCGGGGTAGCCGGACACGGGAGATGAGGTTTCGAAGCCGTTGAGTTGGGCGGATGTGTACATTTGGGGGGCGGCGCTCTGGGTTTCAGGGCGGTTCGTGTAGCCATTGGAAATGGGTCGGGACGAGCGAGAGCCTGGCTGCTCCTTGTTAAGGGCGTACGAGTCGACAAAGGTGCGGTGGCTGGCTTGTGGTTGGGAGCCGTAGTAGAAGATCCAGACAATCTGGGGAATGTCAGTGGTGGTCAGTAATTGGCAGGCGTGGGTATGCCTTACCGCGATCATGGAGAGCAGAATATAGCCGGCGGCAGCAGCCTCGAAGGGGGTGACGGGTGAGTAAACGAGCGAGTTGACAGACGAGGTGGTGAAGACGAGGCCAGCAGCGAGGAAACCGACAATCTGAGCGAATTAGTAAGGGCGCGGCTAGGAGGCTTGGACGCGAGAGAACATACGGCGACATGGTAAGTGCGCTCAGCATCTGAAGCGACTGTGACGGTGACGCCAACGATGCAGAAGAACATGAAGACAAGAGTCCACCATGCGAAGTTGGGGAAGCCGCCATGAATGGCAGATATTATGGAGCTGACAAAGGAGATGATCCAGGCGAGCTGTGGCAGAGGTTAGCGAGGGAAGGCGCGGTTGCAGATGGGCAGGAGCGACTCACGATGCCAATGGAGATTGTGGCGAGGGCGAACGGGTCGCCAACAATGCGGCCGAAACTGAAGCCCGACGACCTCTGGCCGTAGCCTCCGTTTTCCATTTTTGCGAACGAGGTGGATGCTTATGAGTGGGACGAGGGCATATACTGTTGGTGGTTGTGGTGGCTGCGATGGATGGGGGCGAGTGAAAGAGGGTGGTGTGGGCGCGCGATGTCAGGGTCTGGTCCAGCGACGACAGCGAGGCGCAGCGAGGGGGGTATGTATGTAGTAAGTATGGATGCACCGATGGATGGATGGATGGAGGGATATAGTGGTGTGTGTGTAAGTGTGGGAGAGTGTGTGGTGTCTTGTGCAGCGATAGGGCGGCGGCTGCAAAAAGAGGGGAGGGTACAGCGCAGCACAGCTAGCAGGCAAGCAAACAGGTCAATGGAGAGGGCGTCGAGGGCTTTTGGCAACGGGTGCTTAGGGCAGAGATGCGACGGTTTCAAGTCGGGCAGGCTGGGGCGCGCCATTGGCCGGCCAGGTCGCCCAGGGTGCCCAGGGTGCCCAGGGTCGGTCGGGGATTGCGGCGGGTCCCACCCGTATGCAGATTAAAATGGATTAAAATGGCACCGCTCCAGCTCAGCCAGACGGCCTGGACACTTGGACACGCTCGACTGAACACGCGCGTCGACCGCATTAGCCCTGCCCACCCCCCCGGAGAGCCGCCGACAACAAGTGCAAGCACAGCCAGACGACAACAACGGCGACAGCAGAGCACCCAACACACGCCTGTCGCCTGGGTTTTCCTTTTGCTGGCTGGGCGAAGCCGATTGGCACAAAGGCCACTCCCGCCAACGTGCCAGGGGGGTCCTGAGTCCTGGGTCCTGAGCACGAGTCCTGAGCGCGCCGTCGAGTGAGTGCCCTGCAGTATCCTGATCCCTCCGAACTCGTCGCGAACCACGCCTCTCAGAGCAGAGAACAGCCACCCCCGCCTGGGCATAGCGCGTGTGCGTGCCTCTGCCTCTTTCATTATCCTGATTCCCATCTCCATGCCCATCCATCGGCGGGCCCGTCTGCCGCGACTGGCCCGCCCCCGCCCAAGACGCAAAGAATCGTCGTCGGCACCATGTCCCTCCCTCCCTCCCCTGTGAAGTCAATGTGGCCATGTCAGCAGTGCCCTCGTCATCCTCTTCGTCGTGAGTAATCACGTAGTGTATCAATTTCGTCAGGTACAAGCCACACTGCACAGACACACGTCTTGTTCCTGGTGCGTGTGCGTGTGCGCGTGCGTGCAGCCTCTAGCCAAAGCCCTCACGAGGCCGCCACGCCGCTTTGGGCCTCGCCAGATGATTCGAGACGCCGCTGAAACGCCTTTCCTACCGCACCCTTCTCTCCCCAGCCCTACCCAACATCACCTCGGCATCATGGCCGCCTACCAGGCGCTTATCAAGCATCGTCATGTTTGACCATTTGCCTCGATGACATGGCACAATGTTTCTTCGCTATCCCCACCGTCCAATCACCCATACCCATCGTCACCCCTGCATGCCAACGCCTCACAACTCCCGTCCTATTTCGTCGACCAAACTCAAATCTGCCTACCTGACATCCGGTCCCGGCACCATCCGCCCTGTTGCATGTCCATGTGCCTGCTTCCTCAACAATGCCCCTCTCCCATGACGACAACTCGCCCCGACTCTAGCCACCTAATGCCTTTTTTTTTCTCATTCCTAATTACCCCCATCTGCCACAGGGTTGCAGAAAAGAAAAGAAAAGAAAAAACCCTCCTCCTGCATGCATACACTCTACGTACTCTACCCTCCAAGGACTGCGCCACGTCAACCTAACATGCGTCTACATACACATTTGCAGCTAATATCCACTTCTTCGTCCGTTCAAGGGGTCCATCGTGGCTCTCGACTTACCCGCGCCGGTAATTTCTTTTTTTCCCACTGCTCCATGTCGCCCAACGTAATCTTGCGACAGTGCTGACAGTTCTCACAACTCGTCGTCCTCGGCATCTTGTTCTTCTGGTCTTTCTTCTTTATGCGCCGCCCTCTCGTTTCCATTATCCTTTTCGTCCTCGGGCCGCCGTCTGTACTCCTCCCTGACTAATGCTCGCAGTGCTTGCCTGAGCCTCTCGTTGTAGTCCACCCAGCACCTGCCTGCACCCAGCACCATGACCTGCCTGTACCTCTGGTTGATGAGCCCGTTCCTCCGCCTCAACTCGGACATCTTGAGTGCTTGTTGAAGCTGACGCTCCTCTGCCTCGGCAATCCGCGGTCGCAGTGCTGCAAGCTTGGTGAAACCATCCGTCGTGGGTATGTGCTGATCTTCGAGTGCCTTGAGTTGTGACGCAGTCGTCGCAAAGCTAGTCGCACGTTCTACCACCAATGCCGTCTTATGAGCAGTATCAAGGGGAGCGTCGTCCTCGTCTTCGTAGCCCTCGTCCTCGTGGTCGACCTGAGGCTTGAGCACGTCTTTATGTTTGCTTACTTGTCTCGTCAGCTCTAAGAAGCCCCTCACCTATTGACTTTGCATACGTAGACTGTTGGCTTCGTCCAGCAGTGCAGTCTTGCCCGCTAGCTGCTGCAACGACTGCTCAATCTTTTGTATCCTCTCCGATATTGTCCTTGGCTTGTCCTTGGCCACGTCCTGCGGGCCTCCAAGAACATATTCCAGGCGATCCAGCCGTGATTCCAGTAGCGAAAACGTGAAAAGAACTGCCTCTTCGTATTCGTCCATGGCGGTGTGAATTGCTGAATATGTTGTCTTGTCTGCAGACGCAGATCGCGTTCCTGCGCAGCTAGTCAACGCGGGCGGAACGGAGCCTGGGTTTTAGCGGGCGGCTATCTGCTTATCTGCCTCCGAGACCTCTCCGAACGCGTTTGCCTTGTGCCTAACATCAAACGTCAGCAAAGCCCTTTCAACCTCACTTGTCATCTCCAGGCACACCTTCTCTTATCTTATCGCGACCCTTTGGCGACCGTTTCTTCACAGATCAACAGTATTGTTTTTTTGTTCGGCCTCAACCGTATGCGCGCGCAATAACAACTACCGTACACTCTACACCCTCCAGGAGAGCATGGCCACCTACTCCGCGATCAGCTCCGAGCCAGCAGACGAAGACCCCATGTCTTCAAGTATCGGATCGCTGAGAGGAAGAAGGTCAGAGATACATCTTTGAAGCCTGTTCAACACAAGCTGACAGTAGCAGGCGAGGCAGAGGCAAGCATGATGCTGGATTCAAGGGAGAGGCGTCGTGGATCTCGAGTGTGATCAACCTGGCCAACACCAGTATGTTCTTTGCCGTCGATACCCGTTGTCATGAGTACTAACAGTCCTAGTCCTTGGCGCTGGCCTTCTCGCCATGCCATCGGCCCTCTCGAAAATGGGCATCTTCCTCGGCATCTTCGTCATCGCGTGGGCTGGCACAACCGCGGGTTTTGGTTTATACCTCCAGACTCGATGCGCCCGATATATCGATCGCGGCCATGTATCATTTGCGACCCTGTCCCAGATGACCTACCCAAACCTCTCTATCCTATTCGATGCCGCGATCGCGATCAAGTGCTTCGGTGTGGCTGTCAGTTACCTAATCATCATTGGAGATTTGATGCCGGGAGTGGTCAGAGGCTTCGCGCCAGGCGCTGCACACATGGCCTTCTTGGTCGATAGACAGTTTTGGATCACTGCGTTCATGTAAGCACCATGCAAACGTACCACAGATCCGTGAGCTAACAGATCCAGGCTCGTCGTCATTCCCTTGTCCTTTCTCCGCCGTTTGGATTCGCTCAAGTACACGAGCATAATTGCCCTTTTCTCCATCGCATACCTTGTAATTCTGGTTGTCGCGCACTACATTAAAGGCGACACTATCGCAGACCGAGGAGAAGTCCGTGTGTTTCAATGGGCCGGTACTGTGCCTGCCCTCGCTGCGTTCCCCGTCATCGTCTTTGCATACACATGCCACCAGAACATGTTTTCGATTCTCAACGAGATTGCCGACAACTCTCACTTTCGGACAACAACCGTCATCTTTGCTTCCATCGGCGGCGCATGCGGGTTATACATTTTGACTGGCATCACCGGCTACCTTTCCTACGGCGACAAGATCCACGGCAACATCGTATCCATGTACCCTACTGCCGCCGCTAGCACCATTGGTCGACTTGCCATTGTCATTCTAGTCATGTTCTCATACCCCTTGCAAATCCACCCTTGCCGCGCTAGCATCGACGCCTGTCTAAAGTGGCGTCCCAGCGGTGCGCGCAAGCAGGTCGAGGGCAGCCCGTCACGTGCCAGCCTAATGAACAACACCCCCAAGCCCGGCGCTCCCAAGAGCGTCGAAATGAGCGACCTCCGCTTCGCAATCATTTCCACAGTTCTCATTGTCCTCTCTTTCATCACCGCCATGACTGTTACCAGCCTGGAAAAGGTACTGGCGTACGTCGGCTCCACGGGTTCAACGACTATTTCCTTTATTCTTCCAGGCCTGTTTTATTACAAGATTTCCGATCCCGAGTCGACTCACCACCAGCGCCTTATCAAGGACGAGGATGACGAGGACGAGTTTCAAAGTGGTGAGGTGGAGGGCTATGTCACGCGTGAGGGGCATATGAATCGCGATCTTAGAAGGGGACTGTTGAGGAAGATGGCGCTTGCACTGAGCATTTACGGTGTCATTGTTATGGTGACTTGTTTGATTACGAATACCTTTTTAGTTGCGGCTGCGCATTGAGAGAGCCGCCGTGGGGGATGTTGGGCATTGCTTTGCATTTAGCGGGAGTTTTCCAATTTTTGGAGGGGGGAAGGAGTTGTTCTGCGAGCATAGTAGACTGTGTTGGTTTTTTCTTCTGGGCGTTAGACTGCGCTCACGCGGATCTATGTTGGTGAGCATGTTTTTTTGCTTGTATTCTTTCAAATATACACTTCTATTCGCTCTTTCCAGCAATAGAATAATGCTAGCTTTTCTCTCTCTCTCTCTCTTCCATTCTTAGTAATCGAAAATTCCCTCGAATAACGCCTGTTTTCGTGATGCCATCCCACATTTCCGCTCGCGCAATATCGTACCTCTCCCCACGCAATTTCTTTCCCTGGCCTCTCTGCCAATCAAGAGAGAGAAAAAAAGAAAGAAAACGATTCCTTTCTCCCCCATTTCCACTCCAACCTTACGCCTCAGCCTTCTTCTCAGGCACCAAACTCTTAAATGCCGAATCCGCCTTGATCACCTGCCCTTGTACCTGTCCCACGCGATACTGCGGCTCCAGAATCCCCACCATGCTTAGTATCCTCCACGCCGTATCGCTTGGCTGCGCACCCACACCGACCCAGTACCGCGCTCGCGCTATATCCAGCTTGATGTCTTTCCAGGGCCGGCCGTATGTGTCGCCAGGGCGGGGCGGTTGGGGTTTGGGGTCGTAGGTCCCCAGTACTTCAAGGGGGCGCGAGTTGCGTGCTGTGCTGGATGGGGGGGTTAGTGTTTGTATGGATATCAATTCGTCTTTTTTGGAGCTTTTTTTTTGGGGGGGGGGGAGGGCTAGAAGAAGGGCCGTGGAAGTGCGAGAGAGAGGCAATTGGACTTGTGGAAGTGCGTGGGAGGATTGCGAAATGGGCGTACCGGGCGTGTGCGACGACAATGTTGTAGAAGGGTGCGTGCTTCTTGCCGAAGCGCGCGAGACGTATTCTTAATACCATTGTTTCTGGCGGTTTATGTGTATGAGGACGCTGTTGCGACCGGACGGGTGTTTGGCGGGATGGATGTAGTGGTGGTTTGGGGATCTTTTTGGGGCGGAGCCCGAAGATCTGCCGGTGATGCATAACCCCACTTGTTTGTGACTATTTGGGCTTAGCGTTTTCCATGTCAAGCTGTGGTGATGTCCTTAGAATTTTAGTCGAGTGTGTTTTGCTGCAATGAGATGTGTCGGTTCTCGTAACAGACAGGCGTTATATCTACAAGGGCAATTTGTTACATATTCATTGAAATTCTCCCAATTGTCAACATTTGGCAATGTTGATCAAGACTCAATTGAAATATTGCTAAGATGTCACCAAACATAAAGAACAATCAAATCCATCCAAGCCTTCAGCTTGACCTTCCAGATTGTTGCATCATCTCTGCGATGAGATTCTGCATGGCGAGAAGCATATCCGAGTGCTCACCACTTGTATCACTCCGATACTGCTCTCGACGGATGGCATTCCCAATGGATGAAACACTGTCAAACTCTTGTTTGGACATTTCAGTGGTATTTAAAAGGAAGAAAGAGCTGTTGAGTGGGAGTCCGGGACCATGCTTGACAATCTGAGGCCATATCAGAGTGAGGTCCCAACGCGCTTGAATTGAGTACATTGCACCAATACGCATGATTTGCGTGGGCGACAGGCCATTGAATACTGGAAGTATGTAAGCGGGTTTCTACAGCAGGGTTTCAGTCAGGGGTTGGTTGTACCTGAACATTGAACTGTCATATTCTTAAAATCTTCTGGCTCATACAGGATAACCATGAGCTCATCGACCTCGATTTTAGTGACAGATGCCATAATCTTCCTAGGTCGCGCACGCTTTGTGGAGTAGAGCATATTTAATATCATCATCGTGCTTTCAAAGTGACGTCGGTCAGCCTCCTTACGATTCTCCTCGGGCATCTCCCAGGCTTCCATTTGTGGGACTTGGTTTTTCCAGAGAGAGCTTGCAAGGTCTACGAGACTATCTCCCCTGTGGTCTAATAGTGAAAGGTCTAGGCTGTCTCCCTCTTCTTCGAGAAGATAACGTACAGCGTCCTCATTGCACGTTTTTACGGCAAGATGTAAAGCCGTGCTGCCCTTGTATCCGCCTTCGGAAATAGTCAAATTCAAGTATTCTGGGTCATACTTGCGTCTGACAATACTTTGAAGTGTCGAAGTAGAGCGAGCTGAGCCAGGCCGGTATTCCACAATAAATGCAGCTGCATGTAGTGCAGACATTTTTGACTCAACAAGCTCGAATACATCGTAATACACAGTATCTGTATCAACCATGTCCAGGAAAGCATCAATATGACGCGAGGAATTGCTGTATGACTTGGATGACACAATAAGTCGGCCTAGAATCGTCTTCCCATCTGTCATTCTGGTCAAGTCGCATTTCCCCGTTTCATAGATCCAACGAGCCAGAATGTACTTTCCCGCAAAAAGGGCTCTCTCGAAATGATTGTGGAAATTGGCTTCTGACCTGCGGTAATGGTCAAGGTGGTTGAGATACTCAATGTCGTCAGGCAGGGCATGCAGTGCTGCAAAAAAGCCATCCCACTGCTGCGAAGAGATCTTGTCTGCTTGTGAATGGGAAACGAGGAACCGGAATGCCGACTTGTCTTGAAGAGAGCAGGCAGTCCAAAGACAGCGTATCCATTGTGAACTATCTGGCTGTAGTTTTCCGTCCTGCCAGGTCATCAAGTAGTCCAAGATGTATGGTTGACTTTGTTCCAGAGCAGCTACAATGACTGATTGTCCCTTGCCGTCGATATCTAGCGGGTTCGCTCCATGGCGGATAAGAATTTCGAAAGTTTTTTGGAAAGCTTGTTCGTAATCACTCCCATGGATAAGCATCCGATTGAAAGTGCTGGAATTTCCATCAGTGACAAGCCAGCCCAAAATTGCGAATGGCTCCTTCAAGCCTTGCCTCCCAAACTTGCGGTAGACTGCATTCAGATTTTCAGAGTAGTCTTTTGGAGCCTCGAGTAAGATCTCGAGGAGTCGGTATTGACAGCCGATGCAGGCTAGCCATACGGGAAAAACATGGATGTTGTTGGACCAAGCATCGTCATACTCTATCTCTCTTCCCTTCAAATCAAAAGGGCCTGCCCCGACGTCCATGAGTGCCTGAGTGGCTGTTTCATTACCTGTGGCGACAGCCCAGGTCAATGGAGTACCTTCAACAGTCCCATATGTTGAGTCAAGGCACCGCTTATATCTCCACCCTTGGCGTGAACGGGCTTCTCGGTCTGCCCCTGCCTTTATCAGTGCGTCCGTGACTTTTGGGATATGTTCTTCATCAAAGGAGCTCAGGAAGTGTAACGGGGTAGCTCCCTCGTCGTTTGCCAAAGTGGGATCAGCACCTTTTTCAAGTAGAAGAAGAGCGATCTCAGCAAATCCAGATCGACATGCCTTCAGCAAAGCACTTTCATTGCCCTCGAATACTTCGTTTATGTTCACATGTTGAGCTTTCGAGGTGATAATACGGTGGACGAGTTCGTAGCGGCCCCCTGTTGCGGCCAGTTGGAAAATGGGTCCAAGACTGCTGGGTGAATCCTCAATAGCGCTGAAGAAAGAATCATCGTCCACCCAGTCTGAGTCGTAGTAGTTGCGGGGCGCTGCAAGTCCAATCCCAACATATTGAGAACGAAGATGTGAGACTGCCCGCTGGCATTCTTCCATATCGAGGGATGCCAACCGCCTTCGTGCTGTAGAGTTACCCATACAGATTGCTGCATAAAGCCATTGCTTCTCTTCTTCCAGGGAGACCGAAAGCTCCAGCTTGAATACAGCACAAAGCCAACCAACCATCCCGCCAGCTACAGTATGTCCTAGTCGAGCTGCAAGAAGCATTAGTTGAAGTATTGAGTTGAGTTCATCGTGTTTGGTTTTTTCAATCTTCCTCAGTCTTAACTGGAGAACAGAACACTGCCACGCAGCTTCTGCTCGACGTAGCTTGTCTTCTCGTTCATCGTGTGCGACGGCTGTCATTTCAGCGATGATTTGGTTCAGGACTGGAGTTGGAAGGATTTTCAGAGTGCCAAGCGACATATCTGCCTGCTCAACGTTATATTTAGGGGATTAGATCTTTCATTCGTCAAATACCTTAAAGACCGTACCAGCATCACATATTGAGTGCATTTCCTCTGGCTTTGCAAGCTCATGTTTTTTCCTGTTACTCTTAGTCTTTGGAACCGCCGGTAGGCTTTGATTCTCACCAAGCTTTTAGTATCTCAGAGATTCTGTGAGCACACTCAGATTGGGTTATTTTATCGAGCTGTGGGAGGTCTTGTTTCTGAGATATCGCATAAAAGCTTCTATCGAGATACTCGGTCGTTTGTGCGAAACTCCAGGCACGCGCCTTATCATCTTCTGTTGGGCTCTCGATCGCTTGATTTGCAAATTAGCAATTTGTGCCAATATCTATCAATTCTCTCTCACCTGGGTTATTCAATATCTCGCGTTCCTGTGGGTTCAGGTCTGTCGCTTGGATAAACCGCATAATTTTTGCAGGGTCAGAAAAGTTCAATGGGTTTGACACATCTCTACTGAGAATCCAGCTAAGACATATTCGTAGACCCTGGTGTAGGATATTACTTCTTGGTCTGAGTGAAGGCTCAAAGAGATGAGGCGTGACGGTCCTCCCTACTGCATGCGCAATCTGGGCAATGGTCTTGAAATGGTAAGTTTCATCCGTAGCATCCTCAGCTTCATCGTGTTCCTCAAGATCATCCGTCATTCCATCTGGTTGTTGTGTATCAGCCAGTTCATAGCGATTATTCTCCTCTGCTTCGATGATATACCTTAGAAACCGGCTCAATGTATGATAGATGTATTGCGCCGATTTATCATAAATTCTTTGAATGTCATCTTCAGATAGCTCAGACAGTTCGTGCCAATCGAATGGCCTAGCCTGTCCGGGATGCCCAGATGGCCTTTGAAATTCATGATTCTGGAGAATTGCTATAGTGTATCCTCTGCTGAGGATATACGACACTAGAAGTGCAAGAGAAAATGTATCGGCGCTGATAAGGGTTTCACCGTCGAGAAGCTTTTTGCACTCTGGGGCCTGCCAGATGCCACTGCTGAATGGTAGACGAATCGACTCCTTGATATCTGTTTTCAGTAACGATGAGCCAAAATCGCCGATTTTGGCGACGAACTTGAGTTCTGGATGTTTGAATATCAGGACGTTGGCAGGCTTGATATCGCCGTGAATGATGCCAACTTCGTGGAGTGCAGATACGCCGGCACAGACATCGATGGCAAGTCCAAAGGCCTTGCGGGTACTCATCTTGTCGATTGTGAAGCCTTCGGACTGCATCATCGCTTCGAGATTTGTATGAGCTAGCTCCATGACAAAAGCCGGCATAATCTGGCCTCTTATTGACCGCCAACAGACTCCCAGGACGGAAACAATGTTTTCGTGTTCTTGGATATGTGGGTGTCGCAGTATCTGCAACTCCATGGCCATGGAACTCCACAGCTTTTGATTCCGCTTGTCGCGCAGCTCGCCCGTTATCTTTGGGCATTTGACAGCGACAACCTCTGGAAGGGCCGTTCCAGGCACCTCTGAAGAGCTCAGGGGCAAGTATGTCCCTGTCAAAGACTGGGAGGGGATGCTGTATACTTCGAAATATGCACCCTGATTGATTGGGGGCGGTAGTTCAAAACTCTGGTCGTGAATGAGGACCCCCACGAGTAAAAGTCCCACCGTTAATGTCCGATGAGAGCGAGTGAATATAGAAAGCAGTGACAGGATGTCGTGGTCACGCTGATGGAAACCGACGTTTGTTGCTACATTTTCAGTTGCCATCGTGAAAGGCTGGAGATGCACGACGTTTGGATTATTGATGAACAGGAAGATCCATTTATGACGCTCTTATGCAAGGTAAGTGTCGGAGTCGCTGCCTTAGCTGAAGCTGAAACGTGTGGTGCGACAGCTTTCTGAAGGCGACTAATGCACTCGGTTGATTGGATGAGGTGATTACATGGCTATACAGCCACAAGAGGGCTGTGCAAGCGCTTGATGTGTCACTCACGGCACAACATCAAATGCTCAATGTCCTCTCCTCACTCCCTTTCATCACATATCAAACACCATAGCTCATCCCTCAGAGTGCACAACGTTATGGCTCCTCCAGATGGATTGGCCATTGGCAGTGGTGTAGTTGGTGGAGCAGGCTTTTTTGTTCAAGTCTTCCAGGGTTGCGTGAAGAGTTTCGAGTTGTGGAGAAAAGGAGAAGAACTCGCTGATGAAGCTGAGATATTCCAAGCAAGACTGGAAATGCAAGCAGCAAAATTGAAGACTTGGGGCGTTGAATGGGGGCTGGACCGCGGCGCTGATTCCTTGCATCTCAAAGACAGGCGTTTCCAGGAGCACGGAGATGTTGCGGTGAAATATGTCGTTCTCATCTATCATTTCCTGGATGAGCTCGGTAAGCTGGGGCAAGATTTCCCTGCAATTTCTTCGGCCGGCAACACATCGATATCTGCCGCCTCGTCCATCACGAAATTACTTGATATGGCCAATCCAAGCTCGACGGAGCGAAAAGATCTCGAAGAAAAACTAAAAAGCATACAGAGTGCTGCTGGGCTGAAAGAAAAAATGAAATGGGCGCTCAATGACGGTGGGCCATTGAAGGCTCTTGACCAGTTGAAGAGCATGGTTGATGAGTTGCTCGACTTTCTCACGCCCCCAAAAGTTGATCCTGCAGCAAAACTGGCATTGAATAGTCTTTTGGCCACGATGAGTCTAGTAAAGCTGCAAACATTGAGCTCACAGTCGGACGAGAACTCGGAACTGCGGGGGCTGGCCCTTCTCAAGTCTGCTATCATAGAAATGGATGCCCGAAAGACGGTTCTTGGCGGTGAGAATGTAAAGGAGAAGGAACGATTGCTGAAAGAGGCGGATTCGAGAGAGGTCAGGTCCGGTCGGAGCTACGGCATCTTTACCAAGGAGGGTACTACGTCAGACGTGCTAGTAGAATGGAAGCTCGTGGATCCTGTACAATGCCCGCCAAATGACTCGAGAGCGGTGTATAAAGCGATGCTGCAACGCCGAATCGAGAACTTGGCAAGGCTTCTCAAGGCCGAGTATAAGCCTGTAGAGCTGCGTACACTGCCCTGTATTGGAGTAGTTACAAGGCATCTGGTTGATGAGAAGTTAGAGCACGGCCTTGTTTTCAATGTTCCCGGAACAAACCATCAGTGTTTAGCGCAAATCCTCGAAGGAACCGGATATGACCTTGACGCAGGAGATTGGTATCGAATTGCTGGGAGCATTTCCCGAGCTTTGTTGTACATGCATCTTGCTGGCTGGCTTCACAAGGGCATCCGGAGCGACAACATACTCTTTTTCGCTGAGAGTAACGGTGACTTTTCTTACGACAAACCTTTTGTTGTGGGGTTCGAATATAGCAGGGAAGCATCTGCTTCCCACCAAACAGAAGGCGTCACGGATGATTTCGAATACAATCTTTATCGCCATCCAGAAGTGCAAGGTCTGCCAGCCGCGGTACAAACAGCAACAACACAAGCAACATCAACTTCTACTACTAGCAAAATACTATTTGACTATACTCATGATCAATACAGCTTGGGAATTCTCCTTTTGGAGCTCGGCTTGAGAGAAAGCATCAAGAGTGTACAGCAAAGGGCATCTCAGGTCGCTGGATACAAAGGCCATTCTGCCGTGGAATTTCGAGATTACATCGTGGATTGTGAAGTGCCCAAATTGGCCTCAAGGATGGGCAAGGGGTATCGGGATGCGACAAGGCTGTGTCTCACGAAAGGTCTCATCCCTCAAGATTCTCGAAGTATTCAGGAGCTATTTTACTTGGATATTGTAAGAGTGCTAGATTCTTATAGAGTACCTTGAGCCCCTCTTACCGTACCATGTATCTAGGCAGTGTAAACAAGTGAGCTCAACGTTTGGAGAGTGATTTCCTCTTCAACAAATTACAAAAAAACTGGAAGGGTTGTGTTTTTCTTTGTTTCTGCCATGCTGCGACGAGTTCACGTAACTACGTTGCATCGAGAGTTGCACACACAAAAGGTGGGTGCGGGGGGCTGCTCTGACCAGATGCGCAGTCGAGACCAGTGATGTAATTGCAAGCACCATGTCATGCCTACCCGATGCATTAATTGACCTCTTGAACATCACACCCATCTAGCTTTTACTCAGATTTCTCTAAAAATCTCAAAATGGCAATCAGAGTGAGTCCTCAATGCATTGTTTCTTTGTGTGGAAGCTAACGTTCCAACAGACTCTGTCAGCCAAAAGCGCTGCAGCGCTCGACCAAGAACTCATGTCAACTGGCGCATTCTCTATCGATCAGTTGATGGAGCTTGCCGGACTCTCGGTATCGCAAGCTGGTATACTAAGCCCTGATATTCCCTTCCATGGCTGGACTAATCAAAACAGTGTTCAAATTACAGCCTCTCAGCAAAGGCAAGCGCATCCTGGTCGCATGTGGTCCTGGCAACAATGGCGGCGATGGCCTCGTCGCAGCTCGCCATCTATTTCACTACGGTTACCAACCCACCATCTACTACCCGAAGCAAAGCAAAAACGAGCTCTACCAGGTGAGCGATGGTGATTAGAAGGGCATGCTGTCTCATACATGCTCACACGTCACAGCGGCTCAAGAAGCAATTGGAAGACCTCAAAGTGCCATTCACCGAAGACTTCGCCGGCGCGCTGAACCAAACTGATCACATTGTTGATGCCATCTTCGGATTCAGCTTTTCTGGAGAAGTGCGTGAGCCCTTTCCAAAGGTCATCGAGGCGCTCGCGTCTACCTCTGTTCCTGTGCTATCGGTTGATGCGCCGTCATCCTGGGACATTGAGGAGGGCCCTCGAGACTCGGGACCAGGCAAGGGCTTCATGCCGCCAGCACTCATCAGCTTAACAGCACCCAAGCCACTCATCAAAAAGTTCTCTGGTCGTCATTTTCTTGGCGGCAGGTTCCTGAGCCCAGAGATGGCAGAAAAGTACAATCTTGATATACCCAAGTATGAAGGCTTGGACCAAGTGGTTGAGATGCCTGTGGACGGCGGCAAGCTGTAAGCAAGTGCCGTCATTAGTTACACAAGTTTGTTCATTTTTTAATCCGATCGAGACCACTTAAATGAGAATGACTTTTCAATGGTTGAATTCGATGCACTTGAATAATTTCAAAGGACCTGCTTGTTGTGACTAGCGTGTCTTCCCCGCAGAGCCGCGGTACGGCTAACAGCGGTCTTGAGATGTCATCGGAACCCCAGCTTCGACACAGTTCGGTAAACAGCCATCGCGGCCTTGGATGGGCCGTCAGTCGGGCCAAGTTCCAGTATTTGTTTCTTCTGTCTCATTGTGCGGGGTGCCACCTCTTATCTGCGTGTCGTGCAAAACATTGCCCACTCGTCCATAATCTCAGAGCACAGAATCCAATAGCCCAAGATGGTCCCCAAAGCACCTTCTCGTGAGGCTTTGGCCCTTCTCAAGAACACAATTCGACCAGCCGCAGCCATCCGATCGCAAGCACAGCGCTGTCTCCTCTCATCCCCTTCTCGCCCTACAACGCTATCGCAATCACGAGCTGGGCACTTGCACCAAGGCACGCGCAACGCCGCTACCTTTACACATTCACACCATGCCGAGGCCGTCTCAGTAATCCCTACAAATGTCGACACGAGCAATGCCGACTTCAAGGAGAACAAGCGCCAGATGGACGAAGCGACTGAGAAGCTCGTCAATCTCCACACCAAGATCGCGCAGGGCGGCCCGCAAAAGGCGAGGGACAAGCACATACAACGAGGCAAGATGTTGGTGAGGGACAGAATCTCTGCCCTGATTGACCCTGGCACACCTTTTCTCGAGTTGAGCCAAATGGCAGGCTACGACATGTACGGCGAAGATGACGTGCCTGCAGGTGGCATTGTCACGGGCATTGGTAGCGTCAACGGCGTTCAATGCATGGTGGTTGCAAACGACGCCACAGTCAAAGGAGGCACATACTATCCCATTACCGTGAAGAAGCACCTGCGAGCGCAGACAATCGCGCAGGAGAACCGCTTACCGTGCATCTACCTGGTGGATTCCGGAGGCGCCAATCTTCCCAACCAAGCCGATGTTTTCCCAGACGTGAACCACTTTGGTCGCATCTTCTACAACCAGGCGCGCATGTCAAGCATGGGCATCCCACAAATAAGTGTGGTAATGGGGCCATGCACGGCAGGTGGCGCCTATGTGCCTAGCATGAGTGACGAGAACATCATCGTAGAGAACCAAGGTCACATCTTCCTCGCTGGACCACCTCTCGTCAAGGCAGCCACAGGCGAAATCGTCTCAGCTGAGGATCTCGGCGGAGGCAAGCTCCACAGTGAGGTTTCCGGTGTCACGGACTACCTAGCAGTTGACGACGCGCACGCGCTCGTCCTGGCACGAAGAAGCATTGGTAACCTCAACTGGCATCGCAACCAGACAGTTACTGCGCAGCCGAGTTACCAGGAGCCGTTGTACGACCCTCAGGAGCTGTCTGGCATTGTAGGAACCAACCTGCGCCGACAGATACCCATCCACGAGGTGATTGCACGCATCGTCGATGGATCGTCGTTTGACGAGTTCAAGCCACTGTACGGCTCAACGCTGGTAACTGGTTTCGCAAAGATCTACGGACACCCAGTCGGCATTGTTGCCAACAACGGTATTCTCTTCAGCGAAAGCTCGCTCAAGGGAGCGCATTTTGTTCAGCTATGCGGCAAGCGTCATATCCCACTCATCTTCCTGCAGAACATCTCTGGCTTCATGGTCGGACAAGATGCTGAAAAGGGCGGCATTGCAAAGAACGGAGCCAAGCTTGTGACAGCTGTAAGCTGTGTTGACGTCCCCAAGTTTACTGTAGTAGTGGGATCCAGTGCTGGAGCTGGAAATTACGGCATGTGGTAAGTGTCATCCGATTTAGACTTTTGGCTTCTGTTTACTGATGCACTACTTCCAGCGGTCGAGCATACTCGCCCCGGCTCATGTTTACTTGGCCGAATGCCAAGACATCGGTCATGGGCGCAGAGCAGCTTTCGTCGGTCATGGAGGCTGTTGGCAAGAAGGTGGATCCTGCGCTCAAGGCACGAATTGAACACGAAAGTGAAGCAACGTTTGGGTCGGCCAGGCTATGGGACGATGGAATCATACCACCGGAGCACACCCGGCGGGTACTCGGCATGGGGTTGCAAATGGCATGCGGCGGTCAGAACCAGCGCGTCGACAAGGAGAGCACATGGGGCGTGTTCAGGATGTAATCAACAAAAAAGGGAGATTGGTAGAGAAGCAAAATTTCGGAACGCGCGTTTTTGTCTGCTTTGTCGTCAGCTCGATCTTGTCTTGGCGTCTTTGCTGTGTGATTTTCATGGTCGTGTTACGAAAACTGTGGTGCTCGCGTTGCATGGCGGATTCGATCACAATTTCCGCCCCCCACAAAAACCCTGACGTCCGCCGCTTCCGTGCGGCTTGGCATGCGCTTGTCAAGACTGATGGCAGGCCCTTTCAAGACGGCGCAAGCTTGCTTGGAAAACGCTTGTATCTGTGGCGAAGCAGACGCAAACCAGACATCTTGGGTAGCCACATATGTCCAGTTCTATTGGTTTGATCTTCTCTTCTCCTGCTCCAATTCTTCTGGTGCAACGTGACCAATTTACAGGTAAAATGCAAGCACTATACACAGAGCAAGGCATGAATCCTTTGCCAACCCAAGGCAGACAGGCGGCCCTGCGCCACAGTTCCCTGCCAACCGCCCCGCCCCGCCAAACGTTTTGTGGTCCCTCTTTTGTTTCAAGCCATCTTCAACGTGGGACCAGCATGGCTACAAGTACGTACTTACTATGAAAATCTCTTTCGGATACCGGAATCAACAACCTTCCCAGCCGAATAGACTTTTGCAAGCCAACTCGCTGAGGTCCTAGCCAGGTTCCCCTCATGTGGGCTTCCGGAACCGAGTTGCTGATAATGGTGGCGGCCCGGCTAGTAGGTTCGCGTATTCCATTTTGGGCCCTGTCTTGCCTGTAGTAGGTGGGAAGGGAGGCCGCAAAGAGCGGGCGCGTGCAAGGTGATTTGCTGACGCTCGAGATACGGGATTAGGTGTCCAACCCTGTGGCACACAAGCCGTCATCGTAAATAGCTCCAAGCTCTGCTCCATCGGGCACATGGCCTACATGTTATTGGTATTCCCTTGTCAGATGCTTGCTCGTCGATCCCGTCCACTCTTTCTTCGTCATCTCGCCGTCCTTTCACGCCTGGTGTCCCTCATTCACATCCTCCTCTTCCCTTTCATTCCTCTACCCTCGTGTCACCCGACTAGTCGCCTCGCCACCTCCTGTTTTCATTCGTTTCTTTTTCAGAATAACACAGTGTAATATTGCCACCAGGATACACCTGACTTCCTGGGACTCCACTCGTTAGCACTACTCTAAGCGCATATCCTATGCCGTCATGAGACTATTCAGCCCTATGCGAGCGCTAGCGGCCCTCTCTCTGCTATCGTTAGACGTCGTGCGACCACTTACCCAAGCTCTAACTCTAGATCCGAATTCCCCAGGTAAGGCCCTATGCCCATTCAACCCCATATACGATTACATGAGTTAATATCGCTATTACAGATTCTATCAATGACGTTTCCAGCAAGGTCGCCAAACAACTGGTCGCTCAGTATGCGACAATCGACGACAAGGGCGTTCATGTGCTGGGAGGCTACCCAGGTATCTTGTACCCACCATATTACTGGTGGCAGGCAGGCGCCATGTTTGGCACATTGCTAGACTACTGGCATTACACCGGGGATGACCAGTACAACGACATGATTCGTGAGGGTTTGATGCACCAGTTTGGAGAGCATCTTGATCTAGTACTACATCTTCTACCAAGTTTTCGCGAGATAATTCACTGACCATGTATAGATGCCTTCGAACCAATCCAAGAACGAGGGAAATGACGATCAAGTGTTTTGGGCCTTTTCCATGATGGCCGCAGCAGAGTATAAGCTCCAGGACCCTCCAGATGACAAGCCTGGCTGGCTCGCCATGACTCAATCAGTCTTCAACCAGTTCGTCACTCGTTATCAGAAGGAGGTTGCCGACGGGAATTGCGGTGGTGGCATGCGTTGGCAGATTTTCCCATGGCTCAACGGTTGGAAGTACAAGAACACTGCGTCAAACGGCGGTCTTTTCCATCTCGGCGCACGACTAGCCATGTACACGGGCAACGATACGTATGCTGTGTGGGCGGAAAAAGCCTTCGACTGGATGTCAAACAGCCCGATCTTGCCCGGAGACGGCCAAGTATACGACGGCACAAGCATGACTACGAATCCTCCCTGCAGCGACGCAGACCGAACCCCATGGACCTACAACTACGGAATCATGATAGCCGGCGCCGCATACGTACGTCTTTCTCTTTCCCTCCCCAAAGAAAGCTATACTAATATTCCCAACCCCAGATGTACAACTACACCAACGGCGCCCCAAAGTGGAAAACCGCCCTCTCTCAATTCCTCAACAAATCTGAAATCTTCTTTCCCCAGGACAAAGGCGGCGTCATGATCGAAGGCTGCGAAGCAAACCAAGTCTGCGACACGGACCAGGAATCCTTCAAGGCCTATCTCGCCCGCTGGCTCGGCATCACCTTGCAAGTCGCCCCGGAATTCGCGCCCACCATCCTGCCGCGCCTCCAGAAATCCGCCGTCGCCGCTGCGCAAACGTGCGAGGGCCCCTCGCAGCATAACGGCGGGAACCACCAGTGCGGGATGCGGTGGTATAATCAGGGCTTTGATGGGATTGGTGGGGTCGGACCGCAGATGACCGCGCTGAATGTCATTAGCGTCTTGAATGCGCAGAGGGTTGCGCCGCCGTTTAAGAACTCGACGGGCGGGACCAGCAAAGGGGATCCCGGGTTGGGAATCGGGAATGATGCGGATCGGTTGCCCAAGTTTGAGTCGGATATCACCGCGGCCGATAAGGCGGGTGCGGCGATTGTGACAATTCTTGTTGCGGGTATGTTTATTGGGGGCTCGGTTTGGATGATATATTGATGGGTTGAGAGCGGGGGATTTTGTGTATATATGACTTCGTTGTTTTTCCTTTTCTTTTTTCCCTTCACTTGTTTATACCCTTTTGGAAATTGGAATGGATAGGGCGCATGTATTATCAAGGCGCTCTGGAAACATAATGACTAAAGAATATTCTGAATCGCAAGCTTGATCATCAAACGTTTTAAGAAGAACAAAACGGTCTTCCTCATTTCCTCTCTTTTTCTCTCTAAAAACAACTTAATCGGTTTCAGAAATACACAACTGTGCCGTCACAGAGGTGTACCCTTCATCTTTGTCTCACGACAACTTCACGTCCAAGTTTCAAATGAAAATCTAGATGGTATCTGGGCATAAGCATTTATTGTATGAAATCTAAAAATGGGTATCAGTATCCCGTTGATGCTACCAACGCCTTCCCTGAATCAATAAGTTCATTCTACTAATAATCACAACAGTGAAAAATCACGTAAGCGTCATAATATCCCAATCGTCGTCCGGCTCGATTGCTAGATTCCGCCTCTGGTTGCCTGATGAGCGCTCCAGGACCTCCTGCAATAACGTCTTCTCCTAGTCGATGTAGCGTCTCCAGCCATTGGCAACAAGACATTTCTTCCCTTTGTCGTCAACCCCCATGATGAAGCGCTCCCACCGAGCGTCTTGCCCAGCGCCAAGAACTAGTACAGTCTGGTCATCCAGCCAACCAATCAATCCTTTCGTAGGCCTACCGCCGGGTACGCCGGGAATGCCCACACTCAGGGTAGCAGATTTGCCGTGCGGGCCCCAAGAGGTAGGCTCATCTCCCATTTCGAACTTGACCGTGGCAGTGGGATATGTGTCGGAGAATTGTCGGGGTAAAAGCGGAATCTTGGACAGAATGCCGTACTTGTGCTGCGCTGGATCGGCTTGCGCCGCAGCAGTTGCTGTCTTGAGATCGTAGATGTGTAGTGTAGATTTGTCTGAGGTTACAGCGAGTGTCGAGCCGTCCGGAGAGAATGCAAGAGAAAATACGGCAGCAGGATCGACACCGCGACGAAGTTCTGCTAGTTTGGTGCAGGATGGGAAGGACCAGAGACGTATGATGGTGCCCTGCTCACTGGCGGTTGCTATGAGATCGCAACTTCTGCTTATACCGATCGCGCGTAGTGGGCTTTCGTGGGCGGGGATGATGCTGACGTTGCCTGTGTTCAGATCGTATATCTTGACTTGTCCAGCGGCTCTACCGGGGAACGCGACGATACTCGACCCTAGCTCCAACAGCCCAAACGGATTGTTGACCGTCTCATACTCGGCCGTCTTGACTGGAGGTACTTTCATTTTGTATATGCATACCGAATTCAGTAGTGCAACGACCATGTGCGTCTGCGACAGGCGCACACGCTGGATGGGTGTCTTGAACTCGACCGACGTGGTAAAACGCTCTGTTTTGTCGTTCCAGATTTGAACCTTGAAGATTATGTCAGTCTTTTCGACCCAAATCCAGTCAGAGTCCTCGGGACGCACCTTGTTCTGGGGATACTTGGGTTGCTTCCCTCCTCCGACCAGGGCAATGTAGCTCTTATTGCCGAGCATCTCTGCGCAGCCGATGCCGCCACCGACCTCTGCGGGAATGTCAGCACATGGGTATATGTGCAAGCGCGTTGAAGGTACCTCTGGCTATTCTTTCCTCACATGTTGTCGACGAGAAGACTGCAACCGTCAGTAGGTGTTGGTAGACTTGGGCGAGGGCGTCGTCATACCGCGGAATCCCGTCTCAAGAGCGACTGAGAAGTGAGAGCAGTCGGCGTTGAACGAGGCCGAGAGAACAAATGGGCCTGTGTCCGAATCGAGGATAGGTCTGGTATTCATGGTCCGTCGTCGGTATAGAGTAACTCGGCTGTGCGTTGTTTCAAACACAAGGTGGGGTGGGCAGGCGGCGTCGTTGTCTTGGATGCGGGAGTCGATGTTTTGATCAGCGCAAGGACTGCAAGTGCAAGGGACTCGGTGGCATGCTAGGCCATAGTGTTGCCAACAGCGACTGAGGCGGCATGCGTATGAACAGCGTAGAGTGGGTAGGCGACGACGACATCGAGGGTCCAGGGCTCCAAGGTCACAGCTCACCTTGTCATCTGCATCCACCAAATAAGCCTGGCTTTCCCCGTAATGCGGGAGCTAACCGAGTCTAGCAAGCGTGACTGGTGGGACGCAGGACATGTGTACGGAATGCTCCTTGGGCCCAATACATACTGCTGTGCGGCTAGGAGAGCCAGAGAATTCGAACATCAGATATGATGGAATTGTTTCATCATGCCACTGCAGCGTGCCATGACTTGCGGGTCCCCGTCAAAAGCAAGTATACAACGTGTTCATCAAAGGTCGGGATTCAGGACGCGTCGAGGCCGATAGGGCATCCTTATCGGCAGCCGGAAAAGTGCACAACCAAAGTGAGAGACGGGTATCAAGACAAGTATGAGAAGAGCAGTGCTATTTCTCATCCAAGATGGCCGTTTCACTGCATCTTTCAGCATACACGACAAGTGACAGCCTTCTCGTGTTGCACATCGTTCCCAAAGTAGTCGGGCCAGGTGGTTGCGCCAAGAAGGAGAGACCGACCAGGGTGTTTCCCGCTAGCGAGCCCCTTTGCATCGCGCAGGGAGTAGCTGCCAATGTCCCCAAATTTCCACGACGACACCGCTCCAACACAACAGACAGTCTTCATCTTCTGTCTCTCCGTGCTCTCTCACCCGCAATCTCACGCCCTCTTCCGGCAGTCTCCATTGTGTGCACACGACTCCATCCAAGACACACCACAGCAACCCTTCACAGCCCATCATGTCTTCGGTACGCCGCTCCTCCCCACGACACCCCGTCCGCGCCCATCGGGCACACGCCGCTACCCTGCCCTCTACATATGACCCTGCCATCAATTCCAGTCACTAACAATGCATCAGGCGCTTAACAAGACGCGCAGAAAGAAGAATGTCAAGAAGGGAATCCAGTTCTGCCTGATGGTTTGCGGTGCCTCAGGTACTGGCCGGACAACCTTTGTCAACACGCTTTGTGGCAAGCAGGTGCTCGGACACAAGGAGGTGGATGACCCTACAACTGCCCACGTTGAGGAGGGCGTCAAGATCAAGCCCATCACTGTCGGTAAGTTTGTTTATCGACGGTGGACACGGCCATCACGCCATGAGGTAGCTACTGACAATGGCTAGAACTTGATGAGGAAGGTACCCGCATCTCACTCACAATTGTCGACACGCCCGGATTTGGAGACCAGATTGACAACGAGGCCAGGTAAGGACCTTGCAGCACCCATTACGACACCAACTTACCCGTATGCAGTTTCTCAGAGATTGTCGGATACCTTGAGCGACAGTACGATGGCATTCTCGCCGAAGAGTCGCGTATCAAGCGTAACCCACGCTTCCGTGACGACCGTGTACACGTACTGCTGTACTTCATCACGCCTACTGGCCATGGGTATGTGCTCCTCATATGAGTCAGGGTCCAACTAACACGAACCCCTAGTCTGCGTGAACTCGACATTGAGCTCATGAAACGCCTTTCCCCCCGCTGCAATGTCATTCCCGTGATCGGTAAGGCCGACTCACTCACACCCGCTGAGCTCGCCGAGTCGAAAAAGCTCGTCATGGAGGACATTGAGCACTACCGTATCCCTGTATACAACTTCCCTTACGATGTCGAAGAAGACGACGAGGACACGGTCGAGGAGAACGCCGAACTCCGCGGCTTGATGCCCTTTGCCATTGTTGGATCCGAGGACATTGTCGAGGTGAACGGTCGACGGGTGCGAGCACGACAGTACCCCTGGGGTATCGTAGAGGTGGATAACCCCCGCCACTCGGACTTTCTTGCCGTGCGAAGCGCGCTTCTGCACAGCCATCTTGCTGATCTCAAGGAAATTACGCACGACTTCCTGTACGAGAACTACCGTACTGAGAAGCTTAGCAAGAGTGTCGAGGGTGGTGCTGCTTCGTAAGTTTTTGAGCCATGATGTGAAATGAAGTGGAATGCTAACGGAACATAGTAATGACTCGTCGATGAACCCTGAGGACCTTGCCAGCCAGTCAGTGCGTCTGAAGGAGGAGCAACTGCGTCGCGAGGAGGAGAAGCTGCGCGAGATTGAAGTCAAGGTACAACGCGAGATCAACGAGAAGCGACAGGAGCTCCTGGCACGCGAGAGCCAACTGAAGGAGATTGAGGCGCGCATGCACCGGGAACAGAGTGGTATGGCGCATGACGACGCGGACGATGCTTAAGCGTGTGTCCAAGTGGCATGCGTTACGCCCGGCTCCGCCTTTGCATCGGCTCTGATGTTGGGCATCAGCGTTCAGCGCGCTTGGACGGGCAAAAGAAGAAGAGCCAGAGACGGATCCACAAGAGAGGGTTTGATTGACCCAGCATCGGTGGCGTTTTTCTTGCAAATGGAGGAGGGATTTTCTTGGGATGCGCCGACTTCTGAGAAAAGAACGGGGTCGAAAACGTCGGACTTCACTTCTTCTTTTAGTCTGGGGGCCTTTGATTATTTTAACGGACAGTGTTTTTGCCATTGGATGTGGTCTGCGGCTACACGGTCCCCAAACATGACACCGCTTCTCGTATGTTTACTTAGCCTTTTTCGATACTTATTCCCCCCGCCTTTTGGTTCCTTCATGTAGGAGGTAGTAATTCACATTCTAATATCACTCTCTATGATGGCTGATGGTGTACCTCCTTTTCTCTCTCTCTCTCTCTCTCTCTCTCTCTCTCTTTCTTGCGTGTAAATGAGTGTCCGAGTAACTGGATGTGTGTGTGTATACGTGTACATATGCAAGCTCTTTTGCTTTTTGGGTAGTGCATAGGTCGAAGTCAGTCAGGTCAGTCAGGTCAGTTAGATCAGTCAGTCAGCAGGCAAGACAAGGCAAGGCGAGGCAAGGCAAGGCGGATGAGGGAAGAGTCGTGTGTTGTATGTAAGTAATGTGGACAAAAAGTCCATTGTCTGGCGAATAAGAGGCATTTATAGCGCGGTGCATGAGCCTAATGCAGTTGCATGTTCTGGACACTCGGTGTTTTTCCCAATCACTAAACTACTTTGTGCACGCGAGGAGGGAAAATGGTGTCATGTCTTGACGGCACAATACTTAGTCCTCACCGCCCTAGACCACCTTTGTCCTAAACCGGCATGTACACTCGTCCTCTTGGATACGGCGAATACCGTAAACTCCGTCGGCAAGCTTCGGGTTGTATTTGTTAATTAAGGTGTGGATCGTTTTTGGCATCACGTTTGTCCGTCGTCGAGCGGCACTGCGCGGATAAATTCTTCGGCATCCAGAGCTTGCATATACGGGTCGGGGACTAAGCCGGGTTATTCGTTGTAAGACCTCGGTCCTTGATTGCAGAGTGTGAAGGAGGGCACGTACATACATGCCAAGCATTGTGACATTCGTATACCCATACATGGACCTACATGATTTTTTTTGGCGTTTGCTTTTGCACAGCCTGGCCTAGGCCGAGGCGTCAGTCACAGTAATGTATAATGCGGGCTTGAAAAAAAAACATTTACTACCAAGGTCTCCGAGGAGAATAGTTTACTACCAAGGTCTCCGAGGAGAATAGCCATGTACCTTGAACAAGGCTGGCTTGGCTTGAACCTTGGGCACAAGATGTCCATAGTGATAGACAGCAAACATAGGCTGCACCCCGCTTCTCCGTGTGGCGACTGTTGACATGTTGACAGGGGCTTTCCCAGCCACCATGCGACCAAGAAGAGGGGGTATGTCAGGCTGAGTAGATAATTGCAATGGTAGTCTGTCAAGACTATTCCGACCTGATCGAGAGGTTGCCAGTGCATCGCGATGACGAACAAAATACGAAGCCGGTGTGCTGCAGTTAGCTACAGGCCACGCTGCCTAGCTTCCTACTCATCATAGACGAGTTTCCGCATCGGTGAAGTACTGCACGTCATGATGCCGGTACGTAGCGACCCGTCTCACTGTATTTATCGGTGTACTCTCCAGATTCCAGTGTAACGTTTGTTTTCCGCCTCGCCAAATGGTTGGTATCAAGACTGACGGCCATACCGTAACGCTGGACATGTAGTTTGTACACCTAGCGAAACATTGGGCTTTGGGGGCCCTAGCTGGTAACGTTTGTGCGTATACCGCCACTCTCACAACAAGGACGAAAATCGCCAATCATTGAACTTCGGACCTGGCCTCGTATGGGTCGATGTGATTGGATATCTCAGCAAATGCAAGGGCCCCCAACTGCCGATGTCTTTGATGCCTCAACTTAGACTCCCGGAATTGTGCCCAATGTTGCTCGACGACCAGGTTTACTTTGAGGCCGTCCCGGACTCGGCGATCGGGTATTGGGGATGGCAGATGGGATAGATGGCGGCACAGGGGCCCCCCCCCTGGTTGGTGCTATTCCAAGAACGAGGTGGGATTAACCGAGTATCCGTGGTCAGTAGGAAGCATGTCGATGGGTGGCGATTAAGCGATTAGGCGATTTGGGCCTCAAGAAGCAGGTGTGTCTGGGGCAAAAGCAATGGATAATGCCATGTTGCAATGGCAAAGAAATGACCATGGGCCCAGCGATTTGTGAAGTGGCAGCATCGGTGAGCGTTTCTGCATGCAAGTTGGTCCACTCAGACGGCAGTGCAGCACCACACCAACGCCCGGTGCGCTATCAGCTACGTAGGTGTGTATGTGTATGTATAGTATGTGTGGTTGCAAAGTCGGCATACCGACATGTGCCGGCAGATGGGGCGCTTAGCAGAGGGCTTAATGCCGTTGAGATGGGCGTCGTACATGCGTAGGCCAATGTGGTGGCCCGATGGCATTGGCCTGTTTGGTCGCTTAGGGATTATACCCGAGCGGCTGTGCTCGGGACGGAGCCGACGTTGATAGAGGGTGACCAAGGGGACGGTGAAGGTGGATGTTCTGTACTGGGATTGGCAGAGTGGGGGAATGGAGGAGTAGATTCCGGGTTGGCAATAAAGTTGCGAATGAAGCTGAGTGGGCGAGTCTTTGCAGATGGCAGCAATGCCTTATGCACAAGGCCCCATGGGAACGAATCCTCTGTTCCACATTCCCACTTTGAGGCCGACGCAGTGGGTGGACGTGGCAGCGTACAGCCTGGCTGTATACACGTCAAGGCGTGGGCGGGCCAGGGTGCAGGAGACTCGGTCTGGACGGGTGGAGGGGGCGGCAGTGCATAAAGAGCTGCGTGGTAGGGCATGTAGTGGTAGGACATAGGTGTACAGTAGGAGGGTACATAGTGTGTACATAGGCGATGAAGCGAGGAACCTAGGTTCGTAGATCGGCAGGGCGTCTAGTTCGCTGAGGTGTTGCATGACGCATGCCCTGGCCCCACCTTTTCCCAACGGGCCCACTTGGACGACGTGATGCGGGTGCGGAAGAAGGCGCGCAGGGTGAATTATTATCAGGGTAGCCGCGCCGTGCGCGCCTGTGAGGATTAATATCGATGGCGACGATACGGTACACACGGATGCGGCCACTTGGCGGGCCATCTGTTTTGGTCGAGTGCAATCTGTATCTGGGACCGAAGTGGTCGTGTGGTGGTCGAGCGGGGGGGCTAGCGAGTCGTCGTCGTCGTCGGCGGCATCATGTGCATGGGCAGCATAAGTAAGTGAGGTGGGCTTGTACTTGGGTGCTTAGATACACACATACATGGCTAGGGGTGTAAAGCGTACATGTACATGCACAGAGATGTGTACAACGGGTGGGTATTGGGTTTTGTGCTGCAGCTGCATCTCGATAGATGTGTACATATGGGTATGCGTGGGTGTGGGTGTACATAGACTTGGGGGTGCGTGTGCATGTGCGTCTGCCTGGGCGTGCATCCGCCATTCAGACGGCACTGGGTTATGCACACGTACGTAACCTCGGCCTCTGGTGTGCTCGCCCGGCTGCTGCGGGCCTGGGGGGCGAGGGGGGGGAGCGTTGCCAGGAACCGAAGACTAGACAGGCATACGCTCGGATGGGGAAAGCAGAGCCTCCTGCTAGCGACATGTACCAGTATCTAGGCGCTCTCTAGCAGCCCACTGGACGTCGCAGTCGGTGGCCAACTCGCAGCTCGCCTTCAAACCGCCATGTTATGCAGCACGAGTCCCACCCGCGTGGTTCGGGAGCGCCAGCTGAACCATCTGCCACCCGTCTGCGTCCAGCGTCGACCGCGTCCTCCGCGTCCACACTGCCCACACTGCCCACACTGCCCACACTGCCCACACTGGCCGCCGCATGTCAGCCCCCCACCCTCAAACTTTTCGCAGCCAGCTGCTCTGCTCAGTGCCCTCACCGGATTGCCCGGCCGCCAACTGAGAACGATGCGCATGTGCAGCTCGGGTGGGGAACGCCACCTGTCGTCTTTGTCGAGTGTGGCCGCGTGAGAGCCGGGTCGGTATCGTCAAGTGCAAACACAGGCAGCTTTAACTTTGCATGCTCCGTCCCGTGTATGCCGTGTACGGGCAATTGGCCTGCCTGTCTCCCTGTCTCCCTGTCTCCATTCTCCCCCAAGCCCGCTCCGATGCAGGGTCCCATCCGCCGACACAGTGAGAGAGGGCTGCGCGAGACTTCCTGGTTGGAGCATTCCCCAGACCATCTCCACGCATACACACACATACCTACGTATGCGTACATATTACACACACACCCACACCCAGCGCCGCATCGAGATGAACGGCCCCGTTTGCCAGGCCCGATAAAAAAAACACTCAAGTCACAGATAAGTCTAGACTCGCCAATCGGGTTGCAGATCGGTGGGGGAGGAGGTTAAGCCCACACCCCCTGCACGCTGCACGCCCGTCGACTAGCACACAGCCACTCATCTCGTACCGAGCTGCAACGCTTCCTCAACGCCATGGACAGTAACGGAAGCAGGGATCCCTCTTCCCCGAATACTGATTGTCCCCTAGCCGCCTTCCTGGCCTGCTAAATGCCTCTACTACCGAAAGCACAGGCACCATGGCTCGTCTCTTCTCCAACGCGACTGCGGCGGCAGAGCTAGTAAAATGGAACCTCGGACATGTTCGTCATCAACGCAACATGTTTGCCTGCACCAGGCAGCTGTGGGCAGGTACCACCGCGTCCTTACTGGATGCTGCCTCGCTGCCCTCCTTCCTTTCTCTACAAACCTCGTGCCACTGCCGCCCTTCATTGGCCATGTCGTAAAGCTTCCTTCTCCTCCTCCTTCGCATCCACATCGAATCACTTCACTCCCCCATCTCCATTCCAACGGCTTATTCTGACGCGAGCTCCCCCCAGCGCCACCTGGGCTCCTTCCTCGAATCCCGTCCACTCTTGCCTGTACTTGTCCATTATATACCCGCCTTGACCTGGCCTTTTCGTCTTTTCGATACTGCCCTCTGCAACTCGCTCACTCACTCACTCTTACTTTCTCACTCTCTCACTCTCCCTCCCTCGCCTCTACGCATCTAGTCACGTAATCTCTCTCACACGACACCATGGACCGTCCTCAAGTGTCCATCCCTCCAGTAGGTCACCATGTACCACTTACATGTCGCGTGCTCCATATACTAACATGGCAACGCTAGGCTGCGAATGTACTCGGGGTAGGTCATCTGCTCCACCACGCTTGAGTCATGATACTAACCTGTCTTGTCTGCAAATAGACAGTCGGAACTGGTGAGTGAACTGCTGTTGCCATCTTGCGACTATGCTGACTTGACGCTAGTGTATGCACACCATGGAATCCAGTTCTTGACAAACTTTTGCTAACATGGCTTTCCTGACGGTAGTTGTTGGTGTGTTCAGGTATGTGATCAAATGGACCATTTAGCAGTGACAGTGACTAACAGCAAACAGATCATCCCACAGTAAGCATCACAATGCCACCAACTCAGGACAAACTAACATAGCCCAGAATATGGCACAACTGGCGCCGAAAGAGCACAGAGGGTCTGCCAGGATCCATGCTCATCCTCTGGTCGATATGTGAGCTTACTGGCTGCCGATATGCAGGCTGGATACTAACTATTGCAGGTGGCGTCCCATTTGGCGTATACGCCATTGTTCAGGTACGGCTGCAGCCACCATCGCTTGGCGTCTGCTGACAGGACTTGCTAGAACTTTAATTTTGCGCTCAAATTCCAACCCCAAGCATTTGCCAGTCTCACCCTCATTTCTTGGGGTCAGACACTCTACTATCACAAGTCAGTCTATTCCGCGGAATAACCAACAATGACTAATGTATCATAGCAAATGGCGAGTATGGACAGCCACCATTGCCACCATTGCCCTAGCCGCCAGCTTTGGGCTTATGGAGCTGATTCTTATCCTCACTCTGCGTGTAAGCAACCACAAGCTGCTTCTTGCTGTGCCAAACTGACCAAGTCTTTTCAGGGCCCATATAGCCGAGGCGTCGAATGGCCCATGATGCTCATGGCCATCTTAGCAACCATCATCCAAGTCGCCGGCCTGATCCCCCCTTTCTTCGAACTTGCAAAGCGCAATGGAAGAGTCATTGGAATTGGTACGGAAGCGGCTGGACTACCCCGAAGGAGATATTGTGGCTGATGTTCCTAGACTTTTGGTTTCTCACCATTGATTACGCTGGTGCCTTCTTCTCGCTCATGGCTCTTGGTATGTGTTCACCCCACTTTGTCCTAATCAACATGACTAACAAAGGAAATAGTTGCACAACAATGGTTTGATGCCCTCGGTGGCAGTCTCTACATTTCTTGGTGTGTCTTTTGTCTCTCTTGTGTTACATCCATTGACTTCATTCACTAACATCACTTAGCATGCTACTTGAAACCGGTATCTTTGCTTCGCAAGCCATCTGGCTCTGGCGTGTTCGCCATGTACGCGCCGAAGCCAAGAAGGCTGGAAAAACGTATGACGAATACATCGCCGAGAACCCAAGCAAGAAGCTATTCGCGAGCGAATCCTCCGAAACTTTTGTCGATGTCGAGGCTGGTATCGAGAAGCGATCAGCGAGCACATGCACCGAGAAGACGGTCACAAGTCATCATGAGCATATGCTAGCCACACCCAGCGACGCAACGGCAACTTCGCCGGAGACGTCGTCGGAGACACCACCGAAGTCGTCACCGGAGTCATTACCGGAAACACTCCAACAGCCACCAGCTGCTGTCTTAAAACCCAGCGGGTCTGGTTCATCATAGTCATTCAAGCTTTTTATTACTCGAACAACCTTTTGGTAGCTACAACTTGGTAATTTTTTTTCAACCCTTTTCCTCCGCCAGGAAATAAAACACATAGGCACAGCGAGTCCAAGAACAGCTTCGGCTATCTTTTTTTCATTTATCTTTCATTTTATTCTCAGTATCTTCAAGGCAAAAGGGATGCACACGACACATGTACGAACAATACATAATCTCTGGGACTTGGGTGGAGGTATTTTGGCGTTATGACATGGATATCCAGTGTATGATTACAGCGTGGCAGGGCCAAAAAAGTTCATATTGCCTGGGAAACCCTGGAAAAGGGGTAATGGATCAATCACTCAATCAAGCACGAAGCAATGAAATAAAAGTTTAATTGCTCATCAGTCTGGCTAGACCTTGACATGTTGTTGTTGTCGTGGCAGTTGCGATATGCTTTTGTGCTGACTACATACGCACCACATAGATATGTTGAGAGCTTTTTTTTATTAGAGGATGTGTAGTTGCCATGAATATGTATAGTGGTATGAAATATACGACAGGGGGGAGGGGGGTATCATTACGCGTAATGGGGCACAAACCAAAAGCGGGTTTTCAACATGGCCAGTTTTGGGAGCTTTGCCCCAAACATATTTTTTTTTCACTTGTTTCTTTCTTAATTTAGCAACTAATCGTTCGAGCATGTTGGTTAACGTAGTAATTCAACAAATATTTTCTTGTTTCCACACTTTAATTGTTCGCATTGGACACCAATCTCCACACATGCATATGTGCATTGCATGCATTGCATGTATGTATGTATGTATGTACTCCACCCACTCGACCCTTCCTTCCTTCATTCATTCATTCACAAAACAGACAAGGGAATCAAAATTCTGGAAACTCAGTCTGACGTCAATTCATGTTCTGATACGAGCCATTTTTTCTTCTTCTTCTTCTTCTCATCAATTTCATTGCTGTTCTTTGGGGAGGGGAGGGGGTTTCTGCGAAGCACATGTTCTACTATGTATACATACCCACACACACACACACACATACTTCTGATTCTAATTCTACTACGTAACTTGGTTGGACAGGCTAGTGTTCATGGTGCAAGTCATGCGGTGCAACCTGACTTCATGACGCACAAACGCGAGCATGATGAAAGAACTGGAGAGAAAAAAAAATTTATTCAGATCCCTCGATGGAGGTGTGGTGGATTTGAGTGCAAGTCGAGTCGAGTCGTCAAGTTGGAAGGAACAAGGGGGACGCGGGACATGGGTATAGGGCCGATTGAAGGGTGTACGCAATCGCCCTTTTTTTTTTCCTGGTCTGTGGGGAGTGGGCTTGGGTGAATACGGTGGTTTTGTAAGAGAGGGAAAGGCAGGGACGTGCTGGGGGTGGCGGTTACTTCGTGAGCGTGGGGTGATTTTTTGCTTTGTCTGTGCGTTGGGTGAAGGTAATGCAGGGTACTGTGGGGGTTGAGGGTGAAAGGGATAGGGGTGTGAATTATGCAAATGTGTAGCCTACGACAGAGAATTAGCAAGAGGCTTGCTTGAGCAGTTCTGCGGAACTTGGAAGATGAGGTCTTGCGTATCAAGGTTTTGGCAGTTGGGTTTATTCATCGTCTTTCTCAGCATGAACACAAACTGTGTAGGACGTAACCTCTTCTAGGACTCACCTCCGCGAAACAAGACATTCAGTGACGACACCGATTCGCGCTAATGTCTCCCTGCTATCAGCATCATGGCATTGTTGGGTGTGTGGGGAAGCTGGCAAAGGGTCGCTGCACAATGGAGAAAAGAGCAGTCAGATGCTCATCCTCTCCCCCGTCCACTTGATCCTCGTGAACCGCGTATACATGTTTTCAAGTTTTATCGACGCTCGTGTGGGTCTGCATGGTGACCGTACGTAGTAGTAGATGTGTCAAAGGGGTACCGTCTCAGGTTAGGTCAGATCACAGGTTGACGTCATTACCAGTGATGAGGACATGAGGCATTTTGGTCAGTCGGGAGTCCAATCGTGGGGGACAAGAACTACTAGCAGTAGCTTCCATCAGTTGCCGACATTATACTCAAGGCGGCTAGCAGAATCTCCGATTCGGCATGTCTTGCAGATGTACATATTTCAGCCTTGTAGGGTTGACTGCATCAATAAGTCCAAGACTTTTCTGGGATCCGGCGCACCGATTCAACAACTGCAACTAGCCTTTTCCGACACACTGCCTTCTTGATTTCGGAACGGGTGCTCATGATACACCCTTGGTTCTGATGCACGCTGCCAGTGGGGCGGTAAAAGAGACTTGGTAATCGAGCAAGCATGGAACAAACAAGCCTAAGCGTAAAAGTCCCAGGTGACATGGCCTTTACAGACGTCTTGGCATCGGGCGAGATAGCACATAGTCGGGCATGTCCATATCACCATGTTGCTGTAGACCTGAGGTGGTTTGACATGCTCTGGCTTGGGGATTTGGCAGTAGGTGAGGGGTGGAAGAAGATGGAACGTCGAGGCAGATTCGGGAACGGGTGGCACGTGAAGAAGAGCTGCGCGTCTGTGTGACCTCATCAAGGCAGCATAGCCCGCGCTACCGCGTCTCACCCCATCTCTCAAACCTACCGTCTCAACCTACAACTCAACCTTGCGCTTCTGCATCGCAAATCCATCTCGAGCGGTGACGAGTGAAATCACCATGGCCGGACCCAAATACCAGAATGTGCCGCAGCGCGACTCGCTCGACGAGACTGCGCCAGCGCCCTCCTACTCGCAAGCGCCACCCAGCTATCAGGCCACGGAACCCCAGGAAGCACTTCTGAGTGGAGTGCCGCGCAGCGAAGATGACAACCTGCCAGACGACTTCAAGTTTGGTGGAGTAGTGGCCGAGGCGACGCTGGATATTCGAATGGCGTTTATCCGAAAGGTGTACGCCATCTTGTAAGCTCTCCTTTAGGCTCCCGAAACACATTTGTCGCATATACTAACGACATATAGGACTGTCCAGCTCCTCGCCACGGCCGCCGTAAGCTTCGTGTCGATGACATCGGTAACCTACAGAAACTGGATTCAGACACACTCGTGGCCGTTGTGGGTGTCGATGTTTGGCTCCTTTGCCTTCCTCGGACTTACCTATTGGAAGCGCAAATCATACCCCACAAACTTGATGTTCCTGGCTGGGTTCACTGCAATGGAGGCATACATGATCTCAGTCATTGTGTCGTTTACGGAGTCCAAGATTGTGCTGCAGGCCGTATTCTTTACGCTAGGCATCTTTATCGCACTAAGCCTGTTTGCGTGCCAGTCCAAGTACGACTTCACCAGCTGGGTACCGTATCTGTTTGGAGCACTGTGGGTGGTGGTGCTCTTTGGCTTCATGTCGGCCTTTTTCCCGTACAACTCGACTGTGGACCTGGGCTATGGCATCGTCTGCGCGCTAATCTTTTCGGGCTACATCCTGGTCGACACGCAGTTGATTATGCGCCATTACCATGTCGAGGAGGAAATTGCAGCGGCTATCTCGCTATATCTGGACATTATCAACCTCTTCCTCGCGATCCTGAGGATTCTCAACTCGCAGAACCAGAACTAGGTTAGGCGTGGAATTGTGAGGGGTACGTGATGTTGGAAGGAGCGCTTGGGGCGTCATGGAAATTGGCAGGGTTGCTAAGATTGCGGGGTTATTTGCATGTTCTAGGCACCGTGTATACATACACGCACACGTAGCTGGTGTAATATTGATACAGTGGTTAGGCAAAGTGATCTGGGTCCAATGGGTATATGCAAGCATGTGCATATTTGTGGTGAACGGCTACTCTACCGGCGGCACTCTGGTGGATAGTGCGCCGTGGGGCAATGGCAATGACTCGGGTGGGCTGGCCATGGACATGACGCTCGTCGGGGTCAATAGTGTACAAGTACCATTGATTGCATACGACATGGTTCTATGTGAGGATATATCAGACCATGGCATGGCGGGGTAGAGGTTTACGGGGGCAGGTTGAAGGCGTGGGCTTGTGATTGGCCGGCAGAGGCGCAACGGGAACCCAGGGTTTTTCCGCCGACCAGCGACCAGCGACCAGCGACGAAGCTTTTGCAGGTCGAGGGCTTGGCGCGTCCACATTCGTTGGCACTCGCACTCGGTCCTGCGCCCACTGCCCACTACCCACGACAAATCGACGCCCATGATTTCCCATTGCCGCAGGGGCCTCCGCTGCCACGCCACGTCCAGGACGAGATGGTGCGCCGGGCCCCTCGCCTCCCCTTGGCCCAGCAACGGAGCGGGAGGTGGATGGATGGATGGAGATGAATTGCCTCCCTCGAGACATGTCTACACAGTACATGGCTCGATAGATTCGCATGTCTGTACTCAGATAGTTATTTAGTTAGTTAGTTAGTTAGTTGCATGCATATGCTATGCATTACCTACTTGCCGGCTCCTGGCGCCCCGGTACCAAAGTTATTTACTAGGCGAGGCCCAGAGTTAGGCGAAAGTCACGAGTAGCGGGCACGGCGGGCCTCCAGGACGCAGCTAGCAGAGCACTGTTAGCTCCCGCGACACCTGTCCACAGCCCACAACCCAATCCTCCAGGGGCAATTGGTCGCTCGCTGCACATCTCTACAACACAAGTGGACCGCCCGTCTCGGACTCCTTGGCCGCCTGCGCGCACACTGCACAGCTTGTCGCGGAGACTCACTGTTGATTGGCGCTTGCCCGCTTTCACGTCTAAACCCTGAATATCTTTGCTTGGGCGCACCACACCGCTCCCCCCCGTCAATTGTTTCTTGGTCTGCGACTCTGCCCCCCCGCAGACTCTCCTCCCTCCCTCTGCCGTCCGTCTCTTTGCCATTGCGCTTCCCAATGGCTGCTGGTTGCTGAGATACACCGCCCACCAACCTCACCACGCTCACTACCCAGCACCCAATTCCTCAGACCCGTCCCCACACCCGTTGCTTCTGGTACAGCACATTCGCTGTCTCGTAACAAGGGAACTGGGACGGCACCCCAACCACTTCCGCCAGGCCATCCGCTTCGACGCCCATCGCACGCCATCAATCCGCCCTCTGCTATAACAACTCCCTACCAAACCTTTTTCCTCAACGCCCCAGCTCTTTCCCACGTTTAGAGACACCGCCATCTCTCCCCTTCCAAAAGGGAGCCCAGCATGGCGGCCAAAGCCACCCTGCCACTTGCCAGCGGTGCGCCACAAAGGTCACACACAGCAAATATCCAAGCTGAGAAAACACCCATGGCGCCCAAGAAGCGAAAGACGCAGCCAAAGAAGGCCGACGATGAGGGGCTCCTGGCCTCGCTATGCACCCTCATCTCCGACCACCAGATTGGTATGTCTCTTCCCCAGCATCTCAACGCTCCTGCGACCCCTTTCAGAGCTGACCTGGACCAGGCATATCCGTCAACCTCCTCATTCTCCTCACCTTGACACATGTCTTCTTTCCCCGCGCTCGAAGCCGGACCAACAAGTTTTTCCACATGTCCTACTATAACTCTGAAACGGGCATGTATGGCTGTGGAACTGACGACCTCCCCTTTGTCTTCCTGTGGACCATCATTTTCACCGGACTTAGAGTGGCCGTTATGGAGTATCTGTTGGACCCACTGGCTAGGCTTGGGGGCATTAGGACAAAAAAGGGACTCAATCGATTCAAGGAACAGGCTTGGCTCATCGTCTACTATACCTGCTCCTGGTCTCTCGGAATGGTATGTTCCTACTTGGACAGGAGCATGGCGAATCAGAGGTGCTAACAGGACAACAGTACATTATGTATCATTCCGAGTTTTGGCTCAACCTCCACGGCATCTGGGAAGGTTGGCCCTTCCGAGAGGCTGACAGCCTCTTCAAATGGTACTACCTCGTCCAATGGGGTTTCTGGATCCAACAGATTCTTGTCGTCAACATTGAGGAAAAGCGCAAGGACTATGCGCAGATGTTGTCCCACCATTTGTTCACAACCGCCCTCATGGCTCTGTCCTACGGATACTTCCACATGCGTGTTGGTATCGTGATTCTTACAATCATGGACTTTGTCGACATTGTATTGCCAGTAAGTCGACCTTCCTCCAACAAATGATCTCGTGACTAATCAGTGTAGACCGCCAAGCTTCTCAAGTACATGGGCTACACCAATGCATGCGATTATGTTTTCGGACTCTTTGTCATCTCCTGGATAGTCACCCGCCACGTCCTTTACATGATGGTCTGCTGGTCCATCTACGCCTATGCACCCCTCGACATGGAACCCGGCTGCTACCTCGCTGACTCCACGTCAAAACAAACCTCGTTTGTTCCCATATCGAATACCTCGCAATTTGAAGCTCTTGGAGGCAACAACCACTGGGGAAATCTTCTCAAGGCATACAATGACCGCAACGGACCTATTTGCTGGAACCCACAGATTCGATACTACTTCCTGGCGCTCCTCCTTACTCTGCAAGTATTTTGCTGCATCTGGTTTGCCACCATTTCTAGAGTCGTGTACACCGTAGTCAGGGGAAATGCTGCCGAAGATTTGCGTTCAGATGACGAAGGTGAAGACGAGGAGATTGAGGAGGATCAGACCAATACCATTTTCAACATGGCAACCACATGCGCCGAGTCTGGCATGAGCTCCCTGCAACCAAAGGAGGAGGAAGTCGGCGTTGACGCTTTGACGTTTGCTCGCATGAACGGTGCCAGTCAGCGACGACAGGCTAGGAGGGAGAGCGCACGATCAAGTGGCATTAGCATTCCGGGACATGGTGATCGCAAGGAGCTGTTGGGCCGCATTGGCTGCGATAAGCCTTCCTAAGCTCTAGTCGTTATTCTTTTGACAAATCTTATGGCGTTTTGGCGTGTAATATGGTGAGAGGAGTCCGTATTTCTATTATTGTCGGATTCCACGGCTTTGGAGATGTCGCTGGATATGTATACCCTACTAGAAGACGAGCGTAGATTGTTCTCTCTACCATCGCTTTTTTTTTTCGAGCAATGACCAGCCTTGCTCATACTCGTGTACAAAAGAATTTCGACTTTGATCTATGACGGATTTGCGTTGTTCATGCTGAACATGAAGTGAAGTTGTTCTGTCATCCTCGGCTTGTTTCTGATATGATGGTGGGGCTATCAAACCGACCTCGGACGAGGACGACGGCCGCTAGACGCGCACTATGTTTGGGACTACAAAGTGCTACTAGTTGATATAGCTCTGTGACACACCGATATCCATCACCTATCCCGAGAGACGTGCTCACCCTCGAATAAAAGCCGCTACTCCGTTCGATGCTGGATCAGTAGCACCTTGACACCTACCCTACCCTACCCTACCTTACACTCAGGACTACACACACACGTGATAATTACCAACACCATGTCACCAACCATGTCAAACGAACCCCCTCAACCCCTCCCCAATCCCCCCTTCTACATCATCCCCAACATCAACAACCTCCGCGACGCCTCCATCTCCCTTACCACCACCTCCGGCTCCCGCATCCGCCCCGGTGTCCTCTTCCGCAGCGCCGAAGTCTCCAAACTCGACCTGGCCGGCTGGACCGCCGTACATTCCCTCGGCATATCCCACGTCTTTGATCTCCGCTCCAAACCCGAAGTCGACAAGGGCTGGGCGGGCATCGTCGGCAAAGATGCCTCGGGCGACGACGACGTGCGCCCCGGTTGGCTGCAGGCTATGGAGCAAGCGGGCGTAGCGCGCGAGTGGGTGCCCGTGTTTGAAGAGAGTGATTATTCGCCCGAGCGACTGGCGGAGCGGTATTCAAAGTATATGGATGAGGCGGTTACCGGGTTTGTTGAGGCGTATCGGGATATTTTAGCAAACGGGGGCCCGGCGTTTGCTAAGATTTTGAGCTATCTTGCGGCTATTCCGCTATCTTCTTCTGTAGAGGATGATGGGGGCAAGAAGGTTGGGGCGCTGGTGCATTGTACAGCCGGGAAAGATCGGACGGGAATTTTCTTCGGGCTGCTGTTTGAGTTTCTGGGTGTTCCGCGTGAGCAGATTGCAGAGGAATACCAACTTACTGAGCTAGGGCTTGCGCATATCCGAGAAGAGGTTGTGGGGAGGTTGATGCAGAGCCCGGGTTTTAAAAAGTACATGCTGGCGAGGATGCAGGGGACAAAGCTTTCGGTTGAGGATATTGCGAGAAGTCTAAAGGGTGAGGAGGGACAGGATCAGGTGCAGGTGCCGCCCGAGGTGCTGGAGAAGGGAAGGCAGGCGGCACTTCGGATGATTGGGGCGAGGAAGGAGAGTATGTTTAGGAGTTTGGAGATGCTGGACGAGGAGTTTGGGGGTGTGGAGAGGTATTTGAGGGAGAAGTGTGGGTTGGGTGATCAGGAGTTGGATGCGTTGAGGAGGAATCTTTTGGTCGAGTGACAGGCAGTCAAGAGGCATGTGAAGAATGGCTCTCTTTGAGCGATAGATTAGAGGCTAGAACTTAGACAGATAGAAATTACGCATCAGGTCTTGCAAGTCCCGAAAGGCGTATCAAGTATTCGCAATAACGCCAGATACGCCAAATATCAACGTAGCCCGTTTGCACCTGTCCCACGGACAATCTCATTACGCCCAGAGTATCAACACATACATCTACTTAGCTTCAACAGCGCATGCATCGCCACATGGCTGCTTTGCTTCCTCACTATGATCCAAGGCCTTAGCCTCAACCCCAATCAGGCGCGCCAGCTCCGAGATATTAGTATGATCCACGGTGTTTTGCATGCGATACGTGTACTCGCATTTACCATCTGTAGACCCCACGAATAAGTTTCTCTAGGTTTTTATCGCTTTGGAGGACGGTTGTCTTACCTGCGGAAATGATTACTTCTCCACCATTCAACGCCTTGGGTCCGACTTGGTTCACATGTTGAATATTAGCTACTGCACCCTTGATGCCTCCCCAGATCCTGGACACAGTACTTCCTGCATCGCGCATGTAGTCTCTCGGCTCATCACCGGCTTTAGCTTCGGCTAGGTTGTACTTGAAGCCAAAAATTTTGTGCAGACGGAGCGAAGGATCCGTATAGATGGGATAGGCAGATGCTGATTTTGCTGCGTATGTGTCGATGGGTTGGTAAGAACCGCAACCGATTGCCAGGACTTGTCGGATCCTTTAGTTTGGTTCTGTATTTGGGATATAAGACGTACTTTGAGTAGAAGGGGGAAGGTCAGACGGGGGTATTGATTCGCTGATGCATCGGAGATAGGCCTGGCAGTTCAGACACCCTTTTAAAACTCATGTTAGTGTTTATGTACTTTGCAAAATCATGATCATCCGCGCGTTGTTGTTAACAGTAGCGTGAAGCCATAAGCTTAGGAACTGGGCCCAGTGGGGCTGTGGCGCCATCCAAAAGTTGCTTTTACAACATTGCGCATACGCATATAGACTTACAAAAGTGCCTGGTAAATATCAAAACACTTCGTTTACCTCTTACCAGGTCCCCCAGGGCGTGAGTTTTCCCTTCGCGATCATACACCTCGATCTTGAGTGCTTCTGACAGTTCGGCAGCAGTCGGCAAGCTCGTCGGACTGGGGGCGTCTGAAGGTGCATCAGAAGAAGCCATGATTTACGTTAAAATCACAGAATTTGACTAAGGAATACCGTCGAGGTGGCTGCGCTTCTCTCGCGAATGAAGACAATTTGGAATTGGTGATGACGTGCGGCAAGTCGCCTTTTGGAGGTAGCTACAGATGGCAGGCAGTGCCAAGGCGCTATGCCCGTTTGGGTCGATGATATTTATGTAGAGTGACTTTGGTAGTGGAAGATTATAAGCTTCTATCTTGATGGTAGGTGGGAAAACATAATCACAATAAGAGCTGTTTCAAATGTTTGTGGCGATTGTTTTACGCTTCTAATAGGATTGGTCTTTTTCAGGTCCTTTGCGCTGGCGCGGCCTCCAAGTTAGTCTTCTGGTTGCAAATTCTAGATTTATGCCAATATCAATGGAAATTTTCTTTTTTCTGTCACATACGTTCATAGGAATCAGGGAGCAAGAAAACCCGTTCGATCTTTCATATTTAAGCTGATTACCGGCGGATTAGTAGTCAGGTGGGTGACCACTGGCGAATCCCCGCTGACGTATGTTTTTGTCTACGCGAAGTTTTAATTTTTGGACTTAGTATCTGTCACGTGTCGGCTTCTTGGCTTATTTCACGACTTTACAGTGATTCTGATAGCTTTATTCAACATCACATGTTACAGTGCGATTCGCAAAAAACTGCGGATTACGTCCTAGTATTCGTCATATGTAGATTGTTTTTGAAGTCAAATCACCAGCATGTACCAATCGAGATGTATCTTAGCCAGGCCAAGTTCTGACAACGCCTGCTGCATGTCGAACAATTAGGCCACCACCTCGTGGTAATACGGCTGCTGATTAGCGGCAACAATTCCGCTGCTAACATTCAGTCTGACACCTGTCTTCAAAGCCGTAACAGCTCCAACAGCAAACTGCCTCTCTCAACAACGAAAATCATCGCGGTGTTTTACCATCCATACATCGTCATACTTAATCCTAGCTTTGTATCCTGCAACACCCAACTATGGCGCCAAACCTCCACCTCTACCACACCCCAGGCTCGTGCTCCCTAGCCTCGCACATCGCTCTAAACAGCGCTTCACTTGCTTTCAACGCAACAGATCTCCATGCAGCGCGGGGCTTCCCAGCATCGCAGCTACATCTCAATCCCAAAGGCCGGGTCCCGATTTTAGAAATTGATGGTGAACTCATCACCGAAACACCGGCTATCCTCGCCACCATCTCTGCTTTAGCGCCCGAGAAGAATTTACTTGGAAAGGGGGTGATGGAGCAGGCAAGGGCGTATGAGTGGATGACCTGGTTGTCGGGTACAATGCATGGGCAGGCTTTTGGATGCTTGTTTCGGCCTGCGCGCTTTATCAAAGATGAAGCGGCGCATGAAGCTCTGCGCGAATCAGGTAGAACCCAAGTCAAGGAGTGCTTTGAATACGTCGAAAAGAAGTTGGGCACAAAGAACTGGGCTGTCGGGGATGCATTTACCGTGGTTGATGTGTATCTACTAGTATTTTACAGATGGGGTAACATGCTAAAGATGGAGATGCGGGACAAGTATCCAAATTATACCAGGCTCGCGGATGCTGTCATAGAAAGAGAAGATGTGAAGAAGACCATTGCGAGCGAAGGCATAAGCGCGCTCAACGAGTGAGCAGGTCAGGTAAGGGTGTCAAGATGGCGTGGAGGTGGCATCAAGAATGCGATGACGTGCACAAGGTTCATTTCTCAGAGTGACATGTGACATGTTTGATTGAAACTATCCTCTATAGAATTGGAAAAGTACATGAAAAATAACCACTACGTGAAACGAATACTCCCTGGGACACGTGTTTGATCGTGACCGCAATGCAGCATATTAGTTAGTAAAAGTCGGGCGAGAAGTCATTCCGTCATTCAGGACACGATCCGTCGAGCAAATGCTCAAAGTTCTTCATCATCTTCATGAGCACAAAGACCGAATTTGCAGCCATCACTAGCATCAGAGTCTGCTTCGGACTCGGATGGAACATCTGTACCCTGAGCGATGACGTTCCTCGCAGTCAAATTGTTGATCTCGCCCAAATCGTACATATTGTGCACAAAACGGTTGATCGCGCTGCGATTTGACGCCTTTGAAATATTGACAGGCTCGACATCAAACTTTGCGTGTTCCGGCAAAATGATGTCTTCGGCCTGGGAGCATATTCAGTAGGTTATACATGCAGTCCTTCATAACTGTACATACCTGATCCAAGACTTCGTATAGATCCCATTTCCATTCTGGGTCGTCTAACAACGGGTCATTGGATGCTTCCAAGGCGTGCGTAATTTCACAAGAAACAAGTTGATAACAAGGGGGACCCATTGCATTATCCCAGTGCCCACGATAGGTCCAGGTTATTGTGAGAGAAGAGTCATCCTGTGCAAAGCTCTCCAAAACCGGCCGGAGTGCTTCGATCACTTCCTCTAGAACATTTAAACGAATGTAGCATTGGTGCATGATAACGTGAAGTTTGAAGCCCTTCTTGTTCTTGATATCAAGTAAGCTAGCGAAGTCTTCCTTCAATAACTCACTGCGAACTAGTGCTGTTTCGCTCAAGGTATGTCTACACTTGGAAGAAAGTGAGTGTTTCTGTGGCGGAGTACGGTAGCGATCAATATTGCAATGAACTGTCAGACTTCGGATCAATTCACTTGTAGGGAGGCCGAGATAAAAAGCATCGTTTTGCAGGACTGACTTAATGCGGCTCGATTGGCATTGTAAGAGATTTTCTTCGTTGAGAGACTTGTAGAATGACACCCCGATCTCGTGTGCAGTAAGCTCGCCGATGTAGTCCGGGGACAGATAGTGTGGGAGAGCAGACTGGTCAAACAACTGACTGAGATCGCCATGTTCTGCACGGAACATGCATTGAGCAATGTCTAGAATGCGTGGAAACATAGCGATTGTATCCGGTGGACAGTAGGGGCATGTGAAAGTGTAGTGTTGCTTGACATGCTGTCGCGCCATCAGATGGGGGGATGTTCTGTCGGGATCGTAGTCCCATAAGTGCTGGTATATCATGTCTCGGATCTCTCGTGGCAGACGATCTTGCATTTGCGCTGCAATGTTTTGATTCCAGCTCTTGCAGTACGGGATTATAGTGCGATTGACGATGGTATCGTTCAGCCAATCGCTGTACTGCCCATGCAGCATCAAGCGTTTCGTGGCGAGCCATCGCTTCTGCTCTTCCAGTCGTTCTTCTTCACGTTGGATGTCTTTTTCGCTATTTGGGATTAGTCAAATCGTTCTCGCACATCAGACATTTAGGGACTATCAGATACGCTTGCGAGAACCGGGCATTTCTGTGCTTTGCTCTAGATGTGAGTCAGTATCAACGTATAATGATGTTTTAGTGGTCTTACCGAAGCAACTTCTCTTTTGCTGTATTCAGCTCGTTCTGTGTGAGAGCCTCAGATGAGTTCGTCATGTCTGCAGCCACAGATTGCGGTGGTGCACACCAGAATGGACGAAGAGGAGCTTAAGTTAGTAGAGAGAAAGTGGGAAAGTTTGCTCTGTGTTTGCAGACCCAAGACAGGGTTGAGAAGGGGTACCTGCCGTCAATACAAGAACTAAACCGGATCCGGCTTGGGGCTTTCCGCACGGCACCAGAGTGTCGCGTAGTCATGTGATCAGAGTGTATTAGGGAGCTAGATTCAACCCGTCAATACGATTGAGTAGCCGAAATGTCCTGCCCCTGCCTCCCCACTATTCTTTTGCGAGTACCTGAATATCAGTGCTATCACAGTCCATATTACCTCATCGTTTTGTACCTTTTTAGCACCACAAGCTAATTTGGAGTAACAGATCCTGAACATGAACCTGCTTTGGAGAAGAACTGTGGCAAAACGTAGATACCATACCTATTTCAGAACCAATCATAGTGAAGGACGTCGTTAATTTCTTAGTGAACTGAATCACACGGAAAGATCACATAAAGCGATGGAAAAGAAAGGCACAAGAGTAGTAATTTTTGGATTAATATTAATGTCTATCATGGTGTCTTGGGCTTCGTGTCAGAGACTGGATGACACAGTCAAAATCAGTCCTTCATACGTAGCTATTAATCATAGCCGTCCTAGCGCAGTGAGCGCTTAAGAGGGAGGCGAGGTAGGCTCAGGGACACCAGGAGGGCAGTGCCTAATTGCTCAATTAGCTCGATACCAGTGGACGGGTACCGGAGACATGACTTACCAGTGGTCGTTGTGAGGCTCACAGGCCTCGGCGGGCGCAGCAACAGCCTCACTGGCGGCTGCAGAGGCCGCAGCAGAGGTGGCCGCAGAGGTAGCAGATGGAGTGGCAGAAGAGGTGGCGGCTGGAGACTCCTCAGGTGCAGCGTAGCGACCAGGGCAACCCACACCGGGAACAGCAATGTCATAAGCATAGGCCTCAAGAGCAAAGTACTGAATGGTGTCGCTGTCCCTAGCGGAGTATGTAGCGTTGTTCTTAGCAAGGTTGATAACGCTAGGATACTTCTCCTCTTCCTCATTAGTATAGTGCTCTACGACACCCTCACCAACGGGAGGGAGATGAAGAAGGCGGTGGATGAGATCCGAAGCCCAAAAATAGTTGGTGGCACCGTTGGCGACATTGTAGCCGTACATACACATTGACTCAAGAGGCTTGCGGAGCTCGTAGGAGAGGTCGCAGATGACAGTCTCTGAAGATGCATTAGATCCCCGCCAGTGACCCGCCCATCCTGATTTCTGTTAGTTGTCGATATCTCTTCAAGTTTGGGAGTGTTTTTACGTACCATCCTGGTGACAGTTTCCGTCAATGTCATCGCATCGGAAGAGAATACCGGCTTTGTCGCCATCGGCAATCTTGGTGTACCAGCCAATAGGTTCACCAGTAGGAGAATCACCAAAGTACTTGGTGTAAATATGGGACTCGTTGCCCCAACGGAGGATGTGGTCGCGAGCATGGCGGGCGAGGACCACTGCCTCGTTGAGCCCTTTCTGGAGCATCGTGCGTTGAGTAGCATTGCAGGATGCATGGATAGGGAAACTGTCGACGGCACCAGCATTCCATGTCGAGTCACCGACAGAAATCTGAGCGTTTTCGCTGGTGGTGATTGTGAAGGTATCACGTGGGGCGATCGGTCCGGCCAAAACGGCGGAGGCTCCAAGGAGTAGCAGGGCAGAAACGCGAGCAACCATTGTGAAGTTGGCCTGAGGGACAGTAGCCGAGCCTAGGATTGGATATGAAATTGATATTGAATTACCGAGGCGCTGGATGCCGGATACTGGACGAGGATAGTTGGAGACAAGCTGCAGGCTCTTTATATATCCCACGAGGCTGGCCCGTTGTTAGTTGGCACTGTTCGTCTCGGTACTCAAATTCCGAGCTCATGTTGAACAGAGCCGCCGAAGCTCGAAGAAAAAAACGCCTCCACCTGACAGCTGCAGATACACCCTGGCCTAACGCCCGTTCAGAGAGGCCGATACTACACAACACGGGCCTGGAGAAGCATCTAGTGCTTGGTCTGACGTACAGTCTGCGCGATGGAGCTTGGCTTTCAGCCGCGTGGGGTCTGAAATACATGTTTCTCCGCTCAAGCGTGGTTTTGGGGTTGGTTAAGTACCATGATGGGCGCCCAATGGAGAGAAATTCTCGCTCCCAAGATACAAGCTGTCGGGATTCATAACCATGTTGAGGAAGACCGAACATGGTACATACATTGTGACATCTTTGTATTACTACAGAGAGTTCCCAGAGAGAACGTGCCGTCGGGTGACATACTTTCATAGAGCTGAAGCTGTTGAGATAGTCATGTGGGTTTCACACAGAGGCTAATCAGCGGTGCCAAGCTAGAGATACATACTATCATAGTCTTAACCTGATTGAGAGGCGGATTGCTGGAACCGACAAGGTTTGGGAGAAGAAAACTGACCTTGAATATGTTTAGCAACAGAACTGTTGTCCAGATGTGTGTGTGTGTAGACTATCACTACCGCCCTGGTAGTAAAAGCCGCACTACCACCCACACATCCCACTATCCATGCACCCAGCATACATCGCCAAGCTGTCCGCCACCCTCCATGTGGCGCTATTCCCGCCCACGTACAAGAGACGCTTGTCGGATTCGAGACATACAGAGAACAAGCGCAGGCCATGATTCGATGTGTTTCCGGATGTAAACAAATGCCAAGGGCAATCAATCCAACACGGTGCTCAATGCCAAGCGCATCCATGGCGCCTCCCGTCCAAATAGATGGGACTTGGAAAGTTCTTCGTAGGGTTCCGGGGGCCCTGCACCTTCGAACCGTGCTACTTTTCTTCCGCTCCGCTGATTCCACCGAGGCTTGACCACACGGTTATATCAGGACGGGTGCGCTGGCCACTCTTGCCGTACACACCTCGAGACAAATTGGCTCACTCACCTGGCATATTCACTACTCCTTGACTATGCCTTTGACAATGCGCTCTATCCTCTCGATACCGGTCCTGCTTCTTGCAGGATCTGTTGCTGCGCAAACCCTGACCCCAACCCCGACCAGCACAAGCTCTGTGGCTCGCCGGACTACTTCTGCGCCCACCACAACGTCTTCTCCAACATTTACTGCAGTATCAGATTGCCATCCACACAAAACCGTGCTGTAAGTGCTCCGTTTCAGAGTTCGGGTAGGATGTTTTGAACTGATATGAGACAGATGGTGCATGGTTGGTGAGGAAGAGTACCAGGTATCTGGACCTACAGCCACTGAAGAATTTCAATCGCAGTACACAGACTGTCATTCTCATTCTTCTGCAGTGTATGTATGGTTTCCACTCTAAAGAGCTAACGCTAATTTATCCAGATACTGTGTCGACAACAGGGGCGAAGATGTAAAGATCCTTGTCGATGGTGCAAGGGAAGAGTCGCACAGCGCAGGAGACTCCCATGGCCACGAAGAGCAGCCTGCAGCCGGCTCAACTAGCGAGTCCGGAAGCAGCAGCCAGCACTGTCACGAGCACGCTGGTATCCCCCACTGTGTTGGTGGAAGCTCTGGACCAGTGTGCGAAGCCCCTGATCGTAACTACAACATTGGTCTCCGAGTCGGTCTCCTTTTCGTCATTCTCGTCACTAGCGGCATTGGAGTTTTCACTCCGGTCCTGACCAGGAAGTTCAACCTCGTCGGCGCTGACAACATCATCTTCGTTGTCTTGAAGCAGTTCGGTACTGGAATCGTCATTTCAACTGCCTTTATCCATCTCTTCACCCACGCTGAACTCATGTTCTCGAATGAATGTCTTGGCAGGCTCGAATATGAGGGTACCACAGCCGCGATCTTCATGGCTGGGTTGTTCCTTTCCTTTTTGGTAGACTATCTCGGTGCTCGTTTTGTACAGTGGCGCCAAAGCAAGCATTCGAGCAGTGGTTCAGAGGTTGCAGCGGTTGCAGGCGATAGTAAGTCTGGCGAGGTCACCTCTACTCCCAGCTCAGATCAAGGGTCTGACCATGGTCACGCCGGACACGCACATGGACCCATGCGCATTGCTACCCCCATGGAGCAGAAAATTAACGTCATGAACCTTGAGGCTGGTATCATCTTCCACTCCATCCGTAAGTCTGTGCCGATACACATGATACCGTCCAACTAATGCGCTTCTTAGTCATTGGTATCACACTCGTTGTAGCTAGTGATGGCTTCTTCATCACCCTCTTCATTGTCATTCTCTTCCATCAGATGTTCGAAGGCATCGCTCTGGGAACTTGCATTGCTGATCTCCCAAAGGCTGCAGCGGGGACGCTACAGAAGCTCATTATGGCCGGTACCTTTGCACTCATCACACCTATTGGCATGGCCATTGGCATTGGCGTGCTCGACCACTTCAACGGAAGTGACCCCAGTACTCTCGTTGCTATCGGAACCCTCGATGCTCTTTCGGCTGGTATCCTTGCTTGGGTTGGTCTTGTAGAGATGTTGGCGCGAGACTGGATGAGCGGAAAACTGATGAACGCGGGTTTAATAAGAACTCTGTCCGCGATGTCTGCCTTGGTCGCGGGACTGATTCTCATGAGTGTCCTTGGCAAGTGGGCGTAAGGATAGCACTGAAGGCGTTGCACTGTACGATGTCGAAGTTATGACTTTACTTAACTGCATTGAAAACCGCATTTAGGATCTTTTTGATATAGATCGAGACGTGGTTACACTGACCTTTTATTTATATCCTCTCTGCTTCAAAGCGGAAGTGTAATGAATCTACTCCAAAATTTTCGCCTTCATACTTTGCTTTCCAAAATTGTCCCAAACCTCGGCATTCCATTCTCCTTGGCCTGCTGTACTATGATGCTCAGTCGAGCTGTTCTTCAACAGTATGCGATATGGCTCTTCGACATACAATGGACTCATAGCACGGTATGCTATAGATTTTGGTATTGCCTCCATATCACCATTCTTGCTGGCATCCCTCCAAAAATCTAGCATATTGATCAAGTTTAGTGGTCCATGCACAACAGAGTCGCGGTGCCCCTCAACCTCCCTACACCATTCAGGCAAATAATGTATCTTATGTCCGTTGAACGTCAAGGCTGAAAATCTGAACAACGAATTCCGCGTCTGGCAAAAGTCCCGTTGATACTGGCCCTTTGGCAATGGCACCTCTTCCGGCTTTGGTGGCGCTTTTATCGGATTCTCGGATGTAAGTTCACGTTGAAATACCCAATTTCGACGATCAGTCAATGCAATACCGTGGTCGTTTGAAAACGTCTTTTCTACCCCCACTACCAGCATCTCTCCGCCATTCTTTAATTTCTTAGGTTCCGCGCTAAGAAGTTTGGTAGTCTCCTCGACTTTTTGTCCTACTCTCAGCAGCGCGTTGCGGTCTTTTGCCCATTTCAGCTCGCCTCCTGCCCACATTCGTCTTGTGAACGGGTGGAGTGGATTGACAGTGCGATCTGTGCCGTCTAAGCCCAATTCGGATTCGATAATGGAAGGCGTGAAGTAGACGAGATGATAACCAGGTGGGAGGGGCGTCCCGGATGGGGGCGGACTAAAAGATGTGGGTATCCGGTTCAGTGTTACATTGAGAAGATGGAATTGGTTTGCATCAAGAAGCTGTTTCCGGACGGAGACTGGACCGTTCTGGAAGCGGGTGAGCAGTTCGTCACGTGCTTCCCATGCGGAGGCCTGGTTGCGGGATGTCGTAGCGAAGAATCGACGGGCTAGGTGCGGCATGATGGTTTCCTTCTATTTCGACAACTTTTTTTCCTGATTGCCCTGTTTTACTGACTCAGAGTGTAGTAGTGTGCAGACGCGGGTGATGATGTACTGTACTCAATGCCGATGCATAGCCGATATCGATAACGCTCTCCTTCACCACTCGCACGCGCCATGGAAGCAAATGTAGTACCAAAGCAACTTCGTATCCCTTTTACATGAATCAAGTCTACATACTCTGATTAAAAATATTGAAAAAATTGCGATATCGGTTGTCCCTAAAGAGACCATTGGACGAATCACATTACCACAATCTTGCCAAGCCACCAACTGCTGCCTTGCAAGACCTGATAACCGACTTCGGCTTCTTTGAAAATCCACGTTGTGAGCCGGCAACATGTCTGAACAGCCGCGCAAACGCGCCAGGTTAGCATGTGTGACATGCAACGCACGGAGGGTGAAGTGCGATGTAACTGATCGACAGCCCTGCAGCAATTGTATGACGGCCGATTTGCAATGCGAAACGCGAGAATCGAAGCGCGGAAAGCATGTTAGAAAGCCACGCGTTGAGGCTGAGGCACGAAGCAAAATGTATCCCAATATTCCCAGAGATCTTTTGGTGAGATACAAAAGCTGACATAAACGTAGTCCACCCAGCGTGCCGGTGTTCAGTCCGCAACGACATGAGGATGAGGTTGCGGCATCACACGTCCTGGCTTCTCTGTCGTCCAACTTCAACAGTCCTGTCAACACTCAGGCGCTGATCACTGGTAATCAGAATCAGTTCTCTACGCCATCGACAGCATCAGAAATACCTAACAGTCAAGCAATAACGGAGAATTCCCAGCAAGAAGATGCCGTCTTTCTCGGCGAATCCAGCTCATTACGTTACGTGGCGGGAGCACCGACCCCTGCCGCAGTAGAGCTTCGCGAGTCTTGCTTCCGTCATGCACTTCCCAGAGCTGTTAGAGAAGAAGCAAATGTTCCTGAATGGGAGGCTGAAAGGCGTATCGCGAGGAAAAAGGCTCTCCAGGCAGAAGGCGCGTTTTCATTCCCACCCGCCGAGATCCGAAAGGAATTACTAGAAGCCTACTTCAAATGGTTTCACCCGCACTTTGCCATCGTTGATGAGGACGACTACTGGATGACTTACAACAGACTAGAAATGTCTGGCCTGCTATTGCAGGCGATGTTGTTTATTGGTGTAATTCACTGTGACGAATCTACTCTGAAGAAACTAGGATGGGGCAATCGTCACCGAGCGAAATGGTTCTTCTACATCCGTGCAAAAGACATTTACGACGCGACTTACGAGACTGACAAGCTTGCTGTAATCCAAGCCTTGGTTCTGATGAGCTTTTGGAGGGCGGGCGCTTTGTTGGAAAAAGATGCCCGTCATTGGCTTGGAACAGCCATCAGTCTATCGGAAACACGGGCGTTACATCGCTGCGGGGGAAATTCAGAGGAAAAGCTTACGAGGGTTAAGAGAAGACTGTGGTGGGCCATTTACATTCGTGAGAGACAATGTGCGGCTGCTCTGGGTCTGCCATGCCGGATACGCGACAAAGATTGCGACGTGGAGCCATTGTCATATTCTGACTTTGCATATGCATTCCGGTCCTCGTCTGCAGCAGATGTACGTCATCGCTCGACTGCTTACGCAATAAGTATGGTGCAGTTGGCAGTTTTCCTCGGCCGCGTAGTCGATGCTGGCTATCTACCCGGACGTACACTGACGCCCGAAGACACGACCAGGCTTCGCGATGAATTATACCAGTGGAAGAATGACCTCCCCAGCATCATGCGACTGGACACCGATTCTAGCGGCGTGCCCAACTTCCAAGCTAGCATGGTCCACCTCGCATACAACAATCTCCTCATTCTCCTCCACCGAACCAGTTTCATCATGGATCAGAACCGCAGTGTACCAGCCGAAGGTAATGTCGCTCTCCAGGCCGCTGCGCGTAACTCACGCATAATCGAAGACATGCTACCAGATGGTAGCATCTGCCACGCTCAGATGCACGTCATCACAAACCTATTCAATACGCTCTGCATCCATGTCCTCCACTTCCACCGCTCTACCGGCATTAACCGCACACTAGCCGAGCACCGTGCAAAACTTTGCCTGCTGGGTCTCCGGGAGCTCCAAAAGACATGGGAAGTAACGAATTGGGTTCTAGAACTATTCTTCCACTACCTCGACCGAGATACCGCGTCTAGGTTGACCATGGATCCGGACGAAGCAGGGAATCCTGGCGCTACTACTCAACCATCGGATACGCCAACGGCGTCTTCTAGTAGTTTGAATCAACACCCGGGGCAACAGCAAGGGAATGCTGGTAATCCAGCTCGCGGTAATGCACAATCATCGGGGATCGTCACGCCTTCTACTCCTAGTCCGAAGCCTTGGTCTTGGACACTGGACGAGGCGGATCAGTATCTCTTTATGCAGATTGAGAATGATTTTGCGTTTGGCGAGGGTGGGTTGCAGCACTTGGGCCCGGAAGACTTGGTCCTTACGGGTGCGCCGACTGATTTTGTTTTCCATCGGGGGCAGGAGTAAGTGGGTAGTATTGCTGAGAGTGTCGACGAAGGGTCAGGGGCGATTCGCGTAGGGGTGAGTAGAGGAATAGTAGCGACCACGACGTCGCGAAAGGACTATAGAGGATGTCCCATCTCCATATATGTTCCCTTTTTTCGTTCATAGAGTATTTATGGTTTTATGGAATCCCATCCAATAGCCATTTCGTTCGTATTCCTCGACTTGAACTAAGTCGTGCATTTGTCAGTAAGCTCGTGTTCCTTTCCCGTCTCACCATAAGCACCTTCGCTATATCCAATCATATGACATACCTTTCTCCTTCCCACTCACTAGACTTCTTTATCTATCATGCAATTCTAGTATGAGAGAGTAAGCTGTGCAATATACTGCGCAACATCCGATAAAGAGACCTTGATGAATCATGCCTTCAAATAATACCTGGACAAACAACAGGCTGTACCTCTCCGATTTATACATGACATCTCCTAGCCAAAATCAAAACAAGCATACCTTCACGCTACCTCTCCGTGCTCCACCTTTCACAGTACGAGTCGGCACAATCCGTTCTATTATATCCAAGCGTCGCTCGGCTAAGTGGTCCCTGATTATCTCAGTAAAGCGGTCTCAATCCACCCATGGGGTACACAACACTCACCTTTCTCTGCAGTTAAAGACTGAATATTTATGATCATATTGCTTGGATTATGCAAAACACCCAGCTTCTTGTTCATAGTAATGTGCTGTATTAGTACAGCATCCCCAATGTTTTTATGGTCACCGCCTCTATTTAGGCCGATCATTGATACATGCATAGATAAGTTGCTGTTTGGAGACTTGGATGGGGGCTGATAACGGGTGTTCCTGTTTCCCTTCTAGACTGTCTGGGCTCTCTTCGGGCCTGTTACCGGCTCATGTACAACATCATGCCACAAAAGTTACTATAATCTCATCTTCAGAGCTATAAAAAGAATGATTCTATAGTCGCCTCATCTTAACGACGCCTAACTCAATGCCTGCAGCGGAAAACTTTAATTCGAAAAAGAATGGCTGGACTATTGGTTTCGTCGCCCTCGTGAATATGTGCATATTATAAGGAGTAATCGAACGTAGTATATAATTCCTAGACCGTCTCGGCTCCCATTGTTCATCTTATATCCCATCAACGTTGCTCTCACATTTCGAATCGTGAAAATGCCTCGATTCCTCGCCTCCACTCTCTTCTCCCTCTCCTTCTTCATAGCAACCATCCATGCAGCCGCCGCACCAATCCCCTTGGCCAGAATCGAGATGAAAACTTCCACGGATCTATGCTGCACCTCGAGAGGCACCTGGAGCTCCTTTCAGGACGATCGCCAGGGCACAACTTTCTGGGCATTCCAAACATGCGCAAGTATTCCCCTTCGCTGTTGCCCAAGCACACACATTGCCTTCCTTTCATCTATTCCCTCACGGTATACGTAATAGCGTGGCTTACATATCGAGGATAGTGCCAAGAAGGCACGGATCCAAACCACCACCATGGGTGTGATAACAACCATCAATTTCCTATTGGCGTGTTGGGTCTGAGTCATTTTATTGGGGATTCATGTGGGGAGGGAGGAGCATTGCGTTGGGTTATTCCGCCTGCGTATGAAAAGAGTGCGTTTTCCTCCTCATACAGACATGTGTATCCTTACACCACTATTGCTTTGTTTTTGTTTTTTTGTAGAGCTGGCCAGCTAATAAAGATGATGACTGTTAGAGATCTGCTGTGGCAATGGCGAACAAGGTCCCGTCCCAGGTGCAACTGGAAGAAAGATCCCGTATCCTCCGAATTGGTGCGAGGCCGGCCTGGGATATGTCCTCTGCGTACGTACCACGCTATCCTCCCCTCCCAAAAAAGAAAGCCCCCTTTACACTTCATGTTCCATTTGTACTGACTTGGATGATTTAACATATACAGTGCACGCCTGCGTTAGAGCATGGCGGATGCCGACTCAACGGCGCGCAGACGCATTATCTGCAGGTCAATAGCATGGATATATCTCAGGATAAAAATACGTGTTTGCAGACGGGCGTGGGCGGATGGAAATATTGTGCCAAGCAAGGTACGACTTGGTAAAGAGTACGGATAGAAGATGCTTTGAACTCTTCTAACGACACCCTAAACACTGAACTAGAAGCAAAAAAGGTGAACCCTCGGAGGTGAAGGGTGGAGTGAGCTGCAGTCACGTACATAGGGGTGTGTACGTAGCTTTGATCCAAGAGACCCTGAGGAACTTTTCCTCCACGACTCGTATCACTTCAAACTTTAGTACATACTAATATAATCCTACCTACACACCTACTAAGCCCATCATAATGCCCTACACTCCCACCAGCGGTAGCAAAAAAAAGATCACAAAGCCATCTCAACCCTCCACTAATCCCCAATACGTCACTCACCCCCTCCCCTCCCCCTCTTCATCTCTTTCCTTTCTTTTGCCCCAATAGCTCACCCACCATCCCACCGCACAAACCCCTTCCCTGCATACCCAAGCCCACCCTCCCTACGCCCTGCATGCGCACCCAACCACAACCCAACCCAACCCAACCGCCCTATGGCATCGCTGCAAACCAGAGCCCCCTTGCATGACGCTGTGCCGGAAGAAAGCAAAATCTTAGTTCGGGAAGAAGTAAAAAGAAGAAAAGAAAACAGCTGACGCAGGCGAACGGGGCGATCTGGCCTGATCTGATCTGATCTACATGTGGTGCTCATGTGCGCGGTGAGATGATGATGGTGAGCATGAGTAGTAGGGAAGTAGGGCGGGCAATCCACGTGCACTGTCTTACCGTCATTTACGATGATGGTTGGGGTGATGACGGTAGTGGTGTTGGGGCGTCATCATCGAGATGCCCAATCCAACGACTGTTAATTGGTATGACCCCATTTGCCTAAGCAGTACTAAAATAAAATAAAAACGTCAAAAGATGAGTAGTATGTGTGTTGAGAGGGGAGGAGAAAGAGCAAGAACCAAGTTACACACACACACACACACATACACACACAAACTTTTGAAGCAACCAACAAACACGCATGGTAATAAATGTTTTCATTTCAAACCCCTTAGAGAGAACTCGGAACGAAGGGTAGAAAGATGGGAAAAAGCAAAAGAATAGAGAGCCATATATGTACAAAGAGGAAAGAATTGTTCGCCACCTGAGCTCCTATTGCATGATCTATCCACCCACACCCCTTTCCCACGCGCCATGCTTGATGCCATAAAAAAGAAATAAAAAGAAGAAAAGTCGAGCCAAACATGTGTCTCCGAAAAGAAACAGCGATGAAAGCTTGTAATCCAAAAAGGAATAACACAGCGATGCGAGATCGAGGGCTTTTCATCGAGGCAAAATGTAACTTTGTAAACACCAAAGCACCATAGCTATGCGACTCTTCCCACAGGAACGCCGTGACTGCCGATTTGCACCAGAGAATAATAAAAATTCACAACTTCGTAACCTGGCGCGTCACTAATGGGACAGATTTGACTCGAATAACAGTCCAAGGACAATATTCCAGTGCCTTCGTCTGCCGTCTGCCGTCTGATCCCAGACGTTGAAACGTGCCATCCTATGCCTCGTCCCGTTTCTGCTTGCTGCCCGACGCTTGAGCTGCGATGTTTTTCTCGTCATCTTTTTCTTCAACAAAATCTCTTTGTAGGTTTTTTGTAATTAAGTGTTTTCTTCCTCTACTCAACACAACGTAAGCGCATGCTCCAGACCAGAAAAATGCCTGATAACGATGGATGAAGCTCGTTCAATGTCATCACCTTCCATCATCGTTATCGTGCTTCTTTGATCGATCACGGCCTTCGTAGTCGCTCTCATCATCATAGCGCCGACGTCGCTCACGTTCGTGATGATAGCGGTCGTCATCACGATCATCGTCATCCCGGTCGTCCTTGGAGCGGCGGCTGCGTCTATCACGATCCTCTCTCTCACGTCGTTCATGGTCGTACTCGTCATCCTCTATTTATCTGTTAGCAGTGCTTGCTTAACCAAGTCGTCGACAAACTCACCTCTGCTCTCGCGGATCTTCCTTGTACGATCAGCGAGCTTCTGAATCTCTTCTTTGGTCAAGACTCGGAGTACAATCACACAATCCATGCGTTCTTCGAAACGCTCCTTGGCCTGTTCCAAGGCCTCTGGGTTGACAAGACGTCGGTCAATCCTTGTCCATCGAGCTCCAACGGGAATGTCCTTGCCCTTGAGAGCATCCTTGTGGGGTGCTACGCCCTCGCGGATAGGCTCAGGGTCCTCTGGGAACTTGGCAGTAGGCTTGCGGAGAATACCCTTGACAGGTGCCACAGGTTCCTTGGGTGGTTCAACAATCTGCACACTCTTGCTAGCAGGCTCTGACTCCTTATCAAGTGACTCAGGCTCCTGAACCATGCCTCCATTGTGGGTAGCCGAAGAGCGTTCATCCCGAGAGCTGGGTGCGTCTCGAGGAGGTGATGCACGTGACGGTTCCTCTCGGCCTCGAGACCTGGACCTCTCACGCTCTTCCTTTCGCCTTCGTCGATCCTTTTCGCGGTCAGAGTCGCTTTCTCGGTCACGGTTGCTGCGACCGGCACGTTCGGCTTCTTGTTGGATGCGTCGTCGGTACTCCTCATCGGGGTCTACAGTAGCTGGTTGTGGTGCAGGCTCCTTTCGCCTCTCGGCATCTCGATCAACGTAATGACGTGGCCGTTCATCCCCGCTGCCTTCAGGCGATGGGGCCTTTCTGGAAGAAACAGGGACCTTGTCCTTGTCATCATCCTGTCGACGGTCACGGTACTTGCGATCTGGGTCAGGGTAGGCTGGATAGTCGGGGGCAGCAATCTGTGCGGGAGGAGCAGGAGGAGGAGGAGGAGGAGGGGCAGCAGCAGCAACAGTGGCAGCGGTGGTGGCGGCAACGGGGGCAGCCACGGCTGGAGCTGGAGCTAGAGAGTTACGGCGGCCTTCGGACTTCCTCTCGCGTCGCTCATCAGGGCGGTCCCGCCTGTCACGTTCATCGTATTCCTTTCGGCGCTCTCGCTCTCTTTCTCCAGAAGAGTCGCGGTCACTGCCTCGTTCCTTTTCACGGGCCTTCATATAGCTAGCAGCGCCCAAAGTGGCAGCAACACCAGCAACAGCTCCAGCAGCAGTGGGAACGAAACCATTGCCATCGTATTTGTCATGTTTGCCATGGTCCCGTTCACGGGGACGTCGGTCATAATCTGGAGGGGGCACGTCGCGGTCACGGGGACTACGGACCTCAGGCATGCGAGCCTCAGCACGCTCGGGCTGGTAGTACGAGGTGGCAGGCTCCTGCGCCCTGGGTCGGGGAGGCTCTTGAGGAGGGTAGAAAGGTTGTCGATCAAGGGCATGATGATCATGTGCAAGGGGGGGAGGGCCGGTGGGGGCGATGCCAAATCCTCGGGATGTGACGTCACGGTCCTCGAAAGTGGTGTTGTGACGTTTGTTCTCGACATCCCTGCGGTCGTAGTCGTCACGGTACGTGTCGCGACGGTGTTCGCGGGATTCTTGATGAACGGCAGCTGGGGCTCGAGAGCGTGTGGAAGATGATCGGCCAAGGTGTGCATCTGGATAGGGGTCATACTTGGGGACTGGGGTTCTGTCAATCGAAGACGACCGGCCATGGACCCGTGGAGCGGGGTGGATCTTGTCGAAGCCTCGAGTGGACGGTGGAGGACCGAGTTCACGGGTAGAGGTGCGTGGAGGGCGTTCGGCAATCATGCTCGTAGGACGAGAACTGCGCTCAATGCTGCCAGCACGTGGACGTCTCCAGGCTGGCTCCGTGTCGCGGTACATGCTTGCGGGGTCGGTATAGGAGTAGCCATCGTTGCTCATGTCGGACAGGCGCGGTGAAGGCTTGGAGTCGTGATAAGTACGACCACCACTGGTGACATTGTAGCCCCTATCTGCGTGGTCCCTGTGGCGTGAGGCATCGACCTCTGCTACCAGCTTGGTCAAGTGGCTGGTATCATCGACACTGTAGACCTTCTTGTGGGATCGCGAGGGAGCAGAGGTGATGTATGTGTCGGCGCGTTTGTCGTAGGAAGAGGTCAGAGGGCTTCTGGGGCGGTCGGCATGGGTGGTGGTGTGGGGCGAGTAGGGAGTGCGGAGGGGAAGGGACGTCTGAGGGAGGGCACTGGTGCTCACGTTGGGGCGGGTCAGGTCGTTGGTATTGCGGCGGGGGCGTGTCGTGGTGTACGAGTCGTACTTGAGGTTGCTGGTGCGGGCAGCGGCGAGAGAGGCAGTGGGCTGGTTCCAGTAGGGTGAATGAATCGACGAGGCAGCAGCCAGACGATCGACGCTGGCGCGTGGGGAGCTGGGGCGGGCATAGTACGACGAGTCGTAGTATGGGTCCGAGAAGCCGCCAGTGGATGCTCTGGCAGGATTGCCATATGCCCTGCGGGGGGACGAGGGGCGTGTATAGCGCGAGTCCATGGCGCCCGACAGCTTGACCGTCTTGATGTGCAGCGGGGTGGTTTTGGCGGCGGTTTTGGCAGCAGGCTGGGTGGACAGGGAGTTTCTGCGGGGAGGAAGGGGCGGCGCTGCTGTGGGGGAATAAGTAGTGCCCCTTGGGCCCGGCGGGCTGGTGGGGAGGAGAAGGCTGCCCAACATGATGTTAGTGGGAGTAGGTGAAACGGTCAGACTCGGAGAGGCAATGGCAGCAAAGAAGAAGCAGAGAAGCGCATGGCACAGGAAGAAGGCAAGGACGAAACGAGGCCTGGCGAAGACAGAGAGAGGGAGAGAGGTCGCAAGTGGACGTACATAAAAGCGTGTCAATGCCGGGCGGGTGCCGGAGGGCGGACGCAGGTGTATGTTGGCTCGACGACTAGGAGGCGCGAACCGGTTGCCGGTTTGGACAGACGACAGTGGGAGCGAGGGCGCCCAGGTTTCCCGCGACGAGTGGTGACGCCGGGCGCGGCAGGGGGGCGGGGGGGAATGCGCTGCAAGGAGGACGTGGTGAGAGTTGCTAGGCGGACCTCTAGGATGTGCCTGGCAGCGATGGGCGCGGTGGTGGGGACTGGCGAGGCAGCGAATGAGGCGGGCGACGCACGAGGGGAAGAGCGTGTGTATGTGTGTGTATGGTGG